ACATGCAGGGGCACCTAAGCTCCACTACAGGTCTCTCTCACATTGAAACATCTGTTTATGGAACGTAGCTTGCCTACTGTAAGCTGACTTCTCCTTCGCCCTGGGAAGGGGGGCTGGTGAGGGCTGATGCCATATGGTGCCCCCCGCCTCAAGCCTGGACACTGTGGCCTGCGCACACAGGACCCACCTCAGAGTGTCTTGGCTATTGTGCACGATGTGCATTTTGACACATTTGTCCTTGGGAAGATAGCTTGGTATCTTAGAGTCTGTCGCCTTTGTTAATTTTTTAAAGCCAGAAAGAGCAAAGCAATGGAAATACAGGACTAAGCCACCCCACCAGGCAGACGGGCAGTGGGAGGAGGCCACCACTGCATCTGGCCAGAACTGAGAACATAGGCTGTGGGCAGAAGCCAAGCACATCGAACACACACTCTCCAAATCACAGGACCAGCAGATATGGAGGAGCTCCTGATCACGGGGAGCAGGGAGCCGGACTGAGGACTAAGCATGCGGTCTGCGCTGTCCCCTGAAGCGAGCCGTGACAGTGCAAGCAGAAAGACAAAGCCTGGAGAACAGAGTGTGGTCAGGGTTAGGGGCAGCACGGGCAATATTGGTGGAGGTAGTGTGGGTGAGCAGGCGAGGATGAGCACAAATGGGACACGACACAAACGGTGACAGCATGGCAGGTGAGGACAGACGGTCACATGGGAGCTTGCATAGGGCACCCTGGCTTCCCATATGGCCCACACCCTACAGCCTGGGGCTAAGGGCAGACTATGTTTATGTTATTGATGGGGCCAAATGGGCATCCTGCAACCCTGAATACCAGCCTCCATGGCTCCCACTCTTCTGACCCTCATGTTCTCTCTTTCCACCTTCATAGTAAACACTGACACCCCCTAGACCTTGGCTAAGCTTTGCCTCCTCAGGAAGGCCTCCCACCCACCAAGGCCAGGCCAGGTCTCCTGGGGGTGGTTTCAGTTGCACTCCGACCCTTAGCTGATTCACAGCTTCACATTGTCTTCCCCAAGAACCTGCAGCAGGAACCAGGATTGTTCCAGGCACCCAGCACAATGCTGATGGGCACTAAATAGGCATGGCCATGGGCTGGCTGAAGAACCCCACAGAAGGCTCAGCCTCAGACAGACCAAAGGGCACTTAGCTGGGGTGGAGTCAAGGGAAAGTTGGGCTCCAAGAGTCTCAGGTGACATGGAGCATGGCAGGTAAATAGCAAGGGTCTTGGCTGTCCAACAGAGTCATAGCGTCACCATGTACACATCCTGAAGGCTGGCTAAGCCGGACCAAGTTATAGACCAAGGCGTCCTATAACAACCCTGCTCCCTCAGCCCTGCTACCATCAAACCTTCAACAAACAAAGCAGGGAAATGCCTACAGATCCAGTCTCCATCAGGTCAGCAAATACGGGACCTTCCCAGTGTTAGCCTTCTCTGGCCTGGGGTGGAAGGAGACTTAGACCTCAACTTTCCCTTGACTCCTCCCCAGCTAAGCGGGCAGCCCTAGATGAGCACCCAATTGCCCTCAGCTCAGCTTCCTCCCAGGAAAACATGACACGTGGCCAAGCCTGCAGGGCAGCTGTGAGGCTAGGACCACGGGCACCTCTCCGGGGGACCAGCCCAGAGCAAGCACACACTGCCATGTGGTAGGGCCCAGTTACTCACATACGCTCACATACTCCATGCTGGGAAGGGGTACAGAATTTGTTCAGAAATCTCATTATGCTCTGTTTGAACATGTTAAACAGCAATCATTGGGAACTCCTTAAGGGTCATAATGTACTCCCTATGTGATTTCCTCTTCCTGGTTAGGAAGTGTTAACGCTAAAGATTTCAGGACTTTGGACAAGTCCCAAGATGGAAGGGAGAAATAAGACAGGAAGGGCTGCCAGTAGTGGCAGCCTTGACTACTAAGTTCTTTCTCTATCTCAGTGTCTCAACTTGGCCAAAGGGCCCTCTTCAGGTCAGCTGTGGGTACCCTCCCAACCATGCTGAGAAGGGCTGGCTTTCACATCTGACTCAGTGGAGTCTCCAAGAAACCCAAGGGCCAGTTCTAAGGGACCCTGTGGACAGGCTGTAGGGAGCTTTCAATGCTAGTGCAGGATGGCACATGGGTGCAAGTGGGGCCAGTCCGGAGAGTAAATATGGGTTCTACTAAGAAGCCTACTATCAAATGTTGAATATCTACATAAAATGTAAAGGTATTTTCCTAAATCACTCCTAAAAATGTACACCAAATAAGAACTGACCCCAGCTGATTTCTGATTTTGAAGCAGAGATATACAAAAGTAGAAGGGCAGCTCGAATGTGGGGTATCCTAGCCACACCCAAGGGGAAATCCTAATGCCTGTCTCCTTGTCTACCTGGTAACAAGTTAGCCTCTGACAGGATCCAGGGTGCAGAGAACAGGCCCAGGCCTACTCCCAAGGCTGTTGCTCCCAAGGACCCTGCTGGCCCCTCTTTTGAGGTCACACCACCGGCCTGAGAGACAGGGTGCAAACCAAGGATGACTGGCCTCAGACCTAGGTTTCTCTCACTGTGCCATGCTGCATGGCCCTTGTGCCAACTCTGATGACCTGGGGCTGAATGTATCTAGGATGTAGCTACAACGTGGGAGCACCTTCCTTTAAACCCACAAGAAAAAATTACTCCCATTCTCCAGGTGAGGAAACAGGCTCAGAGTGAAGTCCCTTCCCCAAAGTGGCCAAGTCAGGTAGCAGTGGGGCTGGGATGGCAATGCAGATCCCCCTGACTCCAAGGCCTGCTCTGCCCTGGCCTCCCTATCTGGCCTTGAGTGAGTTCCTGACCTGCTTCCCTTGGTCAGTACGAGTTAGAAGCACCCATCAGCCTTCCTGTAGAAGGGCTCAGCTATGCCTAGAGTGAGCACTAATGCCCTGTCCTGCCCCAAGGGAGGCTGGTCTCAAGCTGAGGAGTTGTATGGAAAGTGTAAGGCCATACATTCTCCTCTCAGGGCTAGTGGCCCTGGCTGGGTCACAGGAGGCAGGAGCAGAGATGGGCAGTACAGGCCTTGAGGCTACCAGCATATCCCGATACCAGCAATCTGCTACTTCTCCAAAGCTAGGGCCCTTCCCTACAAGCTAGTATAACAGCTAAAACGGCCACATTTTAAGGGCATGGCTATTTTAGGGCCCAAACATTTTCCTATTGTAGACACTGCTTTCTTTCTGAGGTGAGGAGGGCAGGAGTTCTGAAAGCGCTATGTAGCCAGGCCTGTGTGCACAGCACAGCATGGCCAGTGCAGAGCTTCCTGGCACACTGAGCTGGGACTGGGTGAAAGCGGACCGTGGCTCCACATCACTGACAGAAATCACTTTGAAAAAAAATGTTTTTACAATCATTGAAAAATGTACAACCATTAAAATTCTATTTGAGCCCATATGTGTGGCTCCCCCTGCAAACTTCTAGAGCAAACTACCATTATGTTGGCACTTAGGACATGTCACACAGCGCCTGCCCCCAACACTCTGCTTCCCTACAACTCCATGTACATGTGTGTGCGCCAGCACGGGACAGCTGGACAGTAGGGCCAGGCAGCATCATGGCCCCTTCCTGCCTCCCTTCCTCTCTGCTACCAGAGTATGCCTACACCAGGAAAGCCAATTCCAGCTCTAGGGGCTCCTGCTACCCAAGTTCAGCTTGAACCTGCAGGGCTGGAAGGGGTGCCTGTCACAGGCCTGTGGACAGCCACAAGCGGCATCCCTTTCTCATAAAAGCTGGTATGATATTAAATCCTCACAGGAGTACCTGGCAAAAATGGATTTGTAAAGCAGAGATTGATATCCAGTACGTTTTCTCAATATTTTCAAGAGTAAAATGTTGGGAACAGGGAAGTTTTCCTATTGAACTCGGGTTAAGTAAGAAGGGGAAGGACCTTGCTTCAGGACGTGTGCAGGACTGAATCCACTCTCTGGGGCACAGGGAGGTGATGCAGTCATGCAGCAGCACACACTCAGTTCCACATCTCTCCACACAGTCCCTGTAGGTCAAGCAAATTCCAGAAGGGGGCACTACAAGTCTCCTCTCCTCTCAGATCACCAAATCCGGGACCTAGAGAGGCTCAGAGGGGGCCTTCATGCCTAGCTTCCTTCAGTGCTTCCCTAAATCTGCTTTCACACCCCTCTCACTCACAACACGGCACACTTCAGGAACCCATGCAATGGGTGAGGGGTGTCCTATGCCCTGGAGAAGGCAGAGCAAGGCCTATTTCCCCCACAGCCTGATGCAATCAGTGACCTGTGAGTGAGGGCCTGCGTGTCTATCGGCATTGTCACTGCCTCCCCAGGGCCGCACTTTAACGCCCTCTCAGTCCACCAATTTTGCTCATTTCAGCAAAGACTTTATAACAGCTTATCACTTTAAAGGTGAGGAGAACATGAAGAAATCAAGCTACGAGGTCAGCATGCGAGCCTCCTAATGTTAGTAAGAAATGTGGTTCAAAGGTCGCCACCTGCCTTATCCCATGTGGGACGGCCTCATACACAGTCCCAGCTGATTCCCACACCCCACTGTCTGGACTCCCAGGGGTGAGAGACTCAGGCTTCCCACGGCTGTCAGAAAGACATGCCGTAATAATGCAGGCACAATGCCAGCATCACTGGGCTGACTACACGAAGGCCACTCAAGGCAGCCTGCAGATCCCAACAGCTAGTACACAGAGTCTTCCAAGTACCCCTCAACATCCCCATTCTTCAGGTGGGAAGATGTAGGCTCACAAAGGCAAGATGCCTTAGCCTGCCCTGCCCCTTCCCAGCCCCCAGGTGGGCTAGCTGGCAGGTGGCGACCCTGAGCATGTTTCGGAAGCACAGAATCACCGTGAGGCCATGAGGTTAATGAACAGCCGCAACATTGCCCGTGTCACCCCAGACCCACCCCCTCACCAAAACAAAGCAAATCATCACCCGAAGCACCCTCCCCCGTGATTGGCGTGCCGCCCTGGGCTGGCAGTAGGGAGAACAGGGACTGTACCGTCCGGCGTCGCCTGCTGGTGGGGTTTTTTACATTTGACGTAATCGTGGTCAATCGGAGTAGCTGTGTAAGGTGGGGATGTCAGACCTGGGCCAGAGGAGGAGGGGAGGGAGGCTCCGGGGCCCGGCAGTGTCCCAGCTGAAGAGTGGGAGTCCTCGTCCACCAGGCAGGCCTTCTCTCTGTGGGAGATGGGTGGAGTGCAGGTTAGAATCTCTACATCCCACCGAAATAGGACATGTGCTGCTCTGAAACAGTGCCCTTCCTGAGCGCTGAACCCTTCCTGACCTGCTACCTTCAAGGGCCTCCTCTGCCCTCCTAGGTTGCACTGCTCCCACACACCTCAAGTAACCTAACCCCCTGGCTGGTGGTTCAAGGTGCTGAAGGAGCTGCTCCCATGGTACCCACTTGGGCTCCAGCCCTTAAATGGCCACTGTTCAACCGTCTCAGGCCTCAAGCCCTAGGGAGACTGCAGGGTAGCTGAAAAGCCCTTCCTCAGAGGAACCCATCCTAATCCCCCTCCATGCCAAGTCAGTACCCTTCCACGTGATGCCTGACAGATTTAATCCCCAACAAAATGCAGATAGAGAAAACGTCTGGATTTACTGCAAAGTCCCATGTGTACAAGGATACCTGCTACAACACTGTTGAGCAAAAAAGTGAAATACCTGAAATGTTCCATCAAAATGGCTATAGAAAACATGACGCACCCATGCTATGGAATAATACATACCCACAGACTGAATGGCATGAATGGGATACTATCTCTATGGATGGGGTCCCAGACCCCTTGTCAGGGGAAAAGTAAACTCTAGAATAGCACCTTCAGTAGTCTGTTTTTATGATATTAAAAAAAAAAAAAAAACCTCTACGATTGTACATGTAAATGTTAAATGTGTGTAAATGCACAGATAATTATTTGAGAAAATAAACTATAGATAGTGACTAATTCTGGGGAGGAAAGTGTATTTGTCACATTTTAGCCCATATATTTATATATTGCCAGAATTTTCTATAACTAAAATATATATTTACGCATTATTTGTATAATTCAATTTTTTTTAATTTTATTTATTTATTTATTTATGATAGTCACAGAGAGAGAGAGAGAGAGAGGCAGAGACACAGGCAGAGGGAGAAGCAGGCTCCATGCACCGGGAGCCCGACGTGGGATTCGATCCCGGGTCTCCAGGATCACGCCCTGGGCCAAAGGCAGGCGCCAAACCGCTGCGCCACCCAGGGATCCCTATAATTCAATTTTTTAAAAGACTTTACTTATTTATTTGAGAGTGAGCAAGAGACAGAGCATGTGCATGAGTAGGGGGAGGGGCAGAGGGAGAAGGACAAGACTCCCCTCCCCAACGTGGGGCTCAATCCCAGGACTACAGGATCATGACCTAAGCGGAAGGCGGACACTTCCAACTAAGCCACCCAGGCGCCCCTATAATTTAATAATTTTTAAAGAAGATTTATTTGAGAGAAAGAGGGAGAGTGAGTTTGTGCATGAGCAGGGGGAGGGGCAGAGGGAAAAGGAGACAGTGAATCCCAAACAGACTCCCCACTGAGCACAGAGCCGATGTAGAGCTCAATTCCATGACCCTGAGATGGTAACCTAAGCTGAAATCGAACTGGACACTTACTCAACTAAGCTACCCAGGCACCCCAATAATTTTTTTTAAGAGTTACGATCAATAAAAGAGAACATCATTGTACCTTGGGGGCCCTCTGTGACTAAAAGGTACACACCTATAATTCCTAGGACACACCATATCCGCTTGGGTGACATGCTACATGCATGCTCATCTCTCCCATAAGACAATGGGCCTCAAGGATATAGTCTGGGCGCAGGTCTCTCCGGCACCTGGCTGAGCCCTGCACAGTGCCCAGCCAGGTATGGGCACAGAGATGGGGCAAGATGAGCTGAAGCTCCAAGATGTGGACACCAGAGCAAAAGAAGTCTGGGCCACAATCAAGGGGAGGCCCAAGGGTCCTCCCCAGCCCAGTGAGGGGACCACACCATGGTGCTAGCATCCCCATGGTCTCTGGCACCACAAGAAGAGCCTCCAATGCTCTGCTTCTTGGGAGAATAGGCAGCAGACAGGCCCTAACAAGTCCCCACTCTTGGGAGAGGCCCTGGAAAAGGACCCAGAGTAAATGCTGTGGGGCAGGATGGGTCACGGGGCTATCACGCCTGTGTGGTGGGCACTAGGCCAGGCCCTATGCAGAACACTAGAAGAAAGGAGTTTTCACGTTGCTCTGAGTCTGCAATGTGAAAACTCCTTTCCTATAATGTTCTGCGTAGGGCAGAGCTGTGTCCCAATGGGGAGAGGGAAGGAGTTGGCTTCTCCCTAGGACCTGCCCCTGAGGATGGGGTGGCACCGAGCATGAATCCAGCATGAGGTGACCTGGGATTGCACACTCAGCCTCTCCTTCTCAGTTTCAACAGAAATATCTCTGTCTGGCAACCAGGAGTCTCCAGGTGAGTTCCAGAGAACTCACCTGGAATGTCATCTTGCTGTAAATGAAAAATCGAGGTACATATGGCGTAAGCTGCTGGGTGAAAGCGTGCTACTCACTTCTCTGAAGCTTTGGGTGTATTCTTCTCCTCGCCCCTGGCAAAGGGTCCTTCTGCAGCCTCCTTCATGAAGTTGACCAGGACCTCTGCACTGACCCCAGAGTCGGGCTTCCCCAGGAGCTTTAGGATGGAAGCATGGAGCCGGAAGTACACCTAGGAGAATGATACTCGGATATGAGCAGCCCTCCCAGTTGCTAAGGTTCACTCCACAGGCCAGTCAGCTACGTTGGAAAAGGGCCCCTGACCAAGGAGACAGGCTGCCACATGCTGCCTTTTTCATTTGCTTTTAAACCAGCCAAACTATAAGTCATTCAAAGCAAGTTCCACCATTAAAATGGACAGGAATTCTCAGCGTCCCAGCTTAAATGTTTAGCCAGTAATGCAACCAAGTGGTGGTAAGATGACAAGAGTAAAAACCCTCAGCCCCATTCACCGGGCACCTCCTCCTACCACAGCCCCTGCCACCCTCTATGGCCCCCTCCCTCAGCACCCATAAAAAGGAAGCCTCCACATCTGTCTCCCACTGCACTGCAGACTCCCTGAGGTGAAAAACAGCTGACTTCTGTTTGGGTGCGTGCTGTTGGGCCAGCCAGGTACTGCAGGCCTGGAGGAGCTTGCCCAGTGGTTACAGGACAGGTAGAAGGCATGCCATATTCTTTGAAGCCTGTGCTTTTCTTCATTTCCTTGAGTCCTCACCACAATCCTCCATTTACAAATGTGTAAGTTGCCCAAAGCACCACAGCCGGGAAAGCCCAGGGCCAGGTTAAACTCAGGTCTGCCCTGCCCTCTACTGCCCCCAACTGAACACCACATCACACATAGGCACCTCTGTAGTGATTCAGCCTCACCTTCGCACCCTCATGTGGGTACAATGGAGGCTCCTGCCTGTGGCACAGACTCCCACAAATGGCACAGGATGTCACGAGGGCTGGGAACGCCTGTGGCTGTAGACCCTGATTAACCAGCCAACTCTCACCCAGACATGGTTCTCAAGAGACATTGCCAACGACCTACCCACGTGAGATGCCAGGTGGTCTGGCCTAGGCAGCACTCTGAAGGGAGCATCCTGGACAGAGGGGACCACCACCCAGAGCCATTCCACCTCTAGCTTGCCTGTGACCCCCAGAGTAGTTAGCCCAGCAAGTCCATTCTCAGCCACAGAAAACTGATGTCCCCACACACATCCAGGTGGCCTTGCCTAAAGGAGCACAGTGTTCAACTGGCAAGGTTTTAACCAAGTAACAGGTTCAGCATTTGAACTGAAGGTTCAACAGCAGAGGTGAATTTTCATCAGGGCAGAGTTAAAGTCTTAAGAGAAATGTCATTTTTAAAACAATATATCCATATGTTGCAGCTGACTCTTATTCTCCTGAGAGCCAGCATGGTGTGCTAGGCCTCAGTTCCTTACCTGGAAGTCCCTGGGCCCCACAGGGACACCATCTTGCCTGCTTATTGGTTCCATCAGACAGCAGCAGAAGCCAAAAGTCAAAAAAACATCACGGAGGAAAAAGAGAGTTGTCGTTTTCCTAAGGGCTGGACTACCTCCCTGCCCACAGCTTCAGTGCTATCAGAGGTGCTACATGGGCCCCAACCCCTCTTCTCTTCTGCTATTAACTTAGGGAAAGGCACACCAGCCCTCTGGGCCTCAGCCTTCTCAGCCCCAAAGTGGAAATCCCTCCAGGGATAGGCCTGTGAGCCTGAGTGGAAAGCATGAAAGAGCTGTGATGGGAAGGAAGGACCTGGGTAGGGAATGACAGCAACCTGGAAGCTGTGCTTCCGCATTTCACCATGAACCCTATGAATATGGCCCCCAGACAGCTGCTGCCAACTACTCAGTGTGAATCATTTTTCAAAGGAAAATTTATAAAAATGAGCCTTTTTTGCTTGTTCACACAATTACCAAATATTAAAAAGAGGGAAAACATGGTTGAGGGAAAACAGACATGCTCATAGATCAGTATAAACTTTCAGGGCAACAAGACGCTGTGGATGCGACATTAAATGACCCTTGGTAATACTCCAGTAAGTGCTCCCTGATATGTATACAAGGCAAGGCCCTGTCCGCACCCACTCAGGGAGAAGCGGAAAAGAAGGCCAAACCCATGAAGAAGGGATTGGGCAAATAAGTGGACATCCAGCCAGACTAGAGGGCCCAGAGGCAGGGAAGGAAGCCCACAATGTCTTCCACTACATCTTGTCCAGTGAAAAATGCCAGTTGCAAAGTAAGAAGATGTTACTATGTATCTATATATTAATAGGGGGAAAATCTAGAAAGACAAGGACATGCCCAAACTGTTAACATGGGGCTAGGATCACTGGGGACTTCAGTTTTTCATTTTAAATACTTCTGAATGTTTGACTCTTATGTTTGATTTTTTTATCCATGAATATGTGTTAATTTTATAATCAGGAAAAAACAAACAAACACATCAAGGCAGATAAGGCATAATAAGCAGATTCTGCCCCAAACTCCAAGAAGCTTGCTGGTCGCAAGCTGGGCACAAAAGAGCAAAGCGAATGTGCTCAGGAAACAGTGAGGCCTGGGCCGGGCCAGGCTCATATGGATCCTCACCCGTGTGCTCAGTTTCTTCCCTATAGAACATGCCAGCCACAGCCTCCCAGCCTGCCTTCCACCACCGCCCTGAGCATTGAGGACAGTATGTGTGAAGTGCCCCAGAAATCATAAATGCAAATCCAAGCACTATACAACTGCTCTTCTCTTGAGGAGCACTGCCAGACCCCAGATCTGAGGCCAAGAGAACAGACTACTCCCCTAGCCCTGTCCTGCCAAGCTGGGAGCTCCAGGCACAGCCTGTGGCCTCACAGGGAACAAAGGTACCAGGAGACACTGTGCCGCATCGATGTCATCACCAAGTCAGGTTCAAGGACCCTGCATGTGCTGAGGAGGAAAGGTAATTTTCCTCTTGAAGAGACAAACAAAACAATCACTCTCCCAGAAAGGATGGTAAGCACCCTTTAGAAGAGAGAGGAAAGGCTGCTTTAATTTCACTACACACAAAGCTGCTGAACACAGAGAAGTTTCCAACAGGTTGTGTGGGAGCCACTGGGACCTCATGCCCCATCCCCAGGGAGACAGAGAGCCTGGCCCGCCCCTGCCCTGCTTCCCTGCCCAAGGCCAGCATGGTGTCACCTCCAGGGCCTCCATGGCCAGCTCAGGTGGATTGTGGTAGTGGATCTTCTTGGGGTAGCGGGCAGCCTCCTCGTGCAGGTAGTGGCCAGCCTGTCTGTAGTGCAGCAGGTAAACAGCAGGTGGCTGCTGCTGCTTCTCGGCGACCTTGCCCAGCATGTAGTGGATAAGCCACTCCTCCTCATCACCATCACCCTCGCAGTGGGCCGCAGACGTAAAACAGTGCCTGGCTGTCTCCAGCATGCTGTCGCGCCGGCCCTCCATCTGGAATGAGACCACGAGACCAGACTGAGTTCAGGCCCTGGGCCTGAACCTACAGGGTTCAGCTATCACCTGCCTTATCCTGAGGGAAGCCCTGCTGCCTTCTTTGTAAGTTTATAATCCTCTTAACAACCCTGACACACAGATGTTCTATCACCATTTCATATCTGGGGACACAGAGTATGAAGAGGCCGGGGGACCCCTCCAAAGCACACAGCAAATAAGGGACAGAACTGGACTGAAACCCATGTCTCCTCGTGTCAACTCCAGGCTCCTTTCTTTTACCACCATCCTGCAGTATCTGCAACTACACAGTTTAGGAGTTTATGAAGTACCTCCCGATCCCCTTCTAAAGATCCCAACCATGACCCTCACTGTGACTGCAGTAAGGTCCTCTGCCTGGGAGGGGGAGACAGCACAAGGCCAGGGCTGCTAGGAGAACCAGGCCAACAGCAGCTCTGCTGTGTCAGTCTGAGAATGCCAAGAGCCAGCACCAATGTTCTGAGATGAGCCCCCACTGCAGGCAGTGAGCACTTCATTCTCACACCCACTCACTAGGGTGGGAAAGCAGAGCTGGAAAGGGTGTGCACCCAACACCCAGCGCTGGAGAGGATGTGCACCCCTGGGGTACCACAGAATTTCCCACCCTGTCCTCTGCACCCTTCCAGAGAAACCTGGGTTGCTTAAAAATGGCAGATTCCTGAGCCCCACCCCAAGACCCAGTGCCTCCAGCCACCCTCTCAGACACTGAAGGTTGGAAACAGCTAAAACAGAGAATCAGCTTCTAAGATGCTTTCCAACTCAGAAAACTTTTCCAGTCACTTTTCCCAGTCCCTGTATGAGGGCTATGGGGCAGCACCTAGATGCTATCCACGTGAGATGTCAAGCCATTAGGTGCATGTGTCCGTTTATCCCAGAGCTCCTGGGTAGGAGCTGGAATGAAGACTACCTGTGTGGGGCCAAAGAGGCAGCTGTTCCCAGTACCCCAGGTCTCTAGCTCCTCATCTTCATGACCCTAACTTGACAGCAGGGAAGCTGCAGCCTCTTCTAGTCTCATCTCAGGGACCAGAGGAAGAGAGAAGCTGCAGGCACTAAGCTCTGGCAGGGGCGCTGCCTGCCGCCTGTGAGAGGAGTACCTGTAACCCACTGTGCACAAGAAGGCTGCCCAAGGATGTTTGTCCGCGGACGCTGATCTACATGAATCTCCTGTAGCAATGGCCCTGGGGCCAGCACAAAGAACCCCAGTGTTCTGCCAAACATTTCTTGAGAAGGAAAATTACTGCCTAGGAATCAAGAAACCATCAATGAGGGAATCCCTGGGTGGCGCAGCGGTTTAGCGCCTGCCTTTGGCCCAGGGCGCGATCCTGGAGACCCGGGATCGAATCCCACGTCGGGCTCCCGGTGCATGGAGCCTGCTTCTCCCCCTGCCTATGTCTCTGCCTCTCTCTCTCTCTTTCTGTGTGACTATCATAAATAAATAAAAAAATTTAAAAAACTTATTAAAAAAATTTAAAAAAAAAAAGAAACCATCAATGAGTGAGATATGATAGAAAGAATCACAGTGTAGTGCCAGGACACGGCACAAGCCAAGTGACTCCATCATACCCCTCCAATGGGATTCTGTAGCAGATCTATACCAGTAAAAGGCAGCCACTTGACTGGAGTCCTGCTCTAACTACTCTGTCACCATGTGGCCTCAACCAAGTCAGTAACCCTCTGCCCACCCAGCTCTGTCACTGAGGTCATAAAGCCACCCACTGAGAAAGGAAGGGCAACTGTGAAGAGCCCCATCTGGACTGGAACCACACAAAAGGCACATAAAGCACAGAATCCCTGTCCTCAGTAGGTGCGGTAGTCAGAACTCTTCAGACAGGAGCAGGAGGGAGAGCCACCGAGGATCCACTATGTTCCAGAGCTCTGCCAGACACCCTAACACCACCTGCCTAACCCAGAGACGTGCACCTGTTGCTGTGGCACCTCATTCACCTCTTGGCCAGGGTGCCTCGCCCAGAGCCAGCCCATGAGAGGTCCTAAGGAAATGCCAGCTCTCACAATACTGCCACACAGGAGGGATGGTCAGCCTGCTTACGGCCAGGTTTCCACAGCAGGCCACACAGCTAGCAGGCGCTGGCCCCAAAGGCTCTGTCCTTGCCTGGAACTGACAAGGGAAACCACTGGTTTTCCTGTAATAGACCCCTTTGGCAAGTTTGCAGGCAGAAGCAGAAGTGCACAGCTATCAACATGAGTCCTATAACTCACCTAATTAGATACAATAAACCCAAACAGCTCTAGCCACCAAGGGGCTGTGTCGTCATGACATACTTCAGGATAAGAAACTACCTTACCGGGGATCCCAGGGTGGCGCAGCGGTTTGGCGCCTGCCTTTGGCCCAGGGCGCGATCCTGGAGACCCGGGATCGAATCCCACATCGGGCTCCCGGTGCATGGAGCCTGCTTCTCCCTCTGCCTATGTCTCTGCCTCTCTCTCTCTCTCTGTGACTATCATAAATAAATAAAAATTAGGGTAGCCCCGGTGGCGCAGTGGTTTGGTGCTGCCTGCAGCCTGGGGTATGATCCTGGAGACCGGGGATCGAGTCCCACATCGGGCTCCCTGCATGGAGCCTGCTTCTCCCTCTGCCTGTGTCTCTGCCTCTCTCTCTGTGTTTATGAATAAATAAATAAAATCTTAAAAAGAATCACATGCTTTACTGACTGAGCCAGCCAGTAATTTATAAAAAAAAAATAAAAAAATTTTAAAAAAAATAAAAAAAAAAAAAAGAAAAGAAACTACTTTACCAAAAGTAGGGAAAACAGGAGGCACAGGGCAGCCCTGTGAGGCAGCTATCCCCCTAGGCAACAATGCAAAACCTCCTTCTTTCCCCGCACACCTGGTGGACTTCCATCTCTCTCCTGCCACCCCTGACAATCCAGGAAGATGGCCTGGGAGCCGAGTTTCAGGCCCTGAGCTCCCTGAGCCAATGGCTTCCTAAGGATCAGAATGGAGTTCAGCCACCGGGGCCACAAGCTACGCAAGAGAAAGGTGTGCAAGGAGTCAACCTGGGTTTCCCGTCTGTCGCCCACTCTCTGCCTTCCCTGCCCCTTCCTGGGGGGAATCAAAAGTTCCCTCCTCTTGGGGAGCTCTACAAACAAAACCCTCAAGTACCAAAGGCAGAAAGGGCACTCTGATTTCTCATCATATTTACTTCCTGGAAAGCCTCTATTCTGCTAAATTCTATTGGGCATCACTAGTGGGGGACTAGAGAAAGAATCCCAAGGTCTACACTCCATCCACCCCAGTGAGTCCCAGCAGAGGATAACAGTATTCCTAGTGCTGTCAGGGACTCAGTTCCCAGCCTGCTCAGCCCTGGGGCCGTTACACTACAAACAGAATGGAGCAAGGGGTCTCTGCATAGGACAATTGCAATGAAATAGGGTTGCAAGGCATAAGTAGAGCTCAACAACATGGAGCTGAGTGAAAAGGAAGCTCAACACCATGTACAGCACGACAGCATTTAGACTAGAAGAAAAGAACAGGTAAATCATGGCATTCTTTCTAGGAGAACATGTATACATAACAAACAGTGTTTGTCTAAAGTCTAGAAAGATACAAGCCTAACTGTTAAGTTTCTCTGAAGCAGGAATGAAGGGATTAGAAAGGGGTTGGGGGGAGCCAAAAAGATTTTAACTTTGTCCTTACTGTGGCAGTTGTTATAAAGGAGGTATTTCTTGTACAATTGAAGAGTGGTTTCTATAAAAGTGATGGTTAAAACAAGGGCCATGCTACTCTTTTCTTGCCCATTTTCTCCTTGTCACAGAGCCCACCACCTGTCTCTGCTCCATGGCTACACTGCCCTTCCTGTCACCTTTGTCCTCTGCCACTGTTGCCAGGCTTGTCCCCAGGATACTGTGTCTAATCCACCCAGGGAACCTGAGAAAGTGCAGCTTCTGACCGTGAGTGCCTGATGGGGCCTTTTAACAAGCTCCTCACTCCCCCAAAAGAGGTTCTCATGCCCAGTCACATGTGGGAGCCACTGTTCTCGTTGGCCTGTAGGGTTCATGCTCTCTGGGCAGAGAAAGAGAGGGAAAACCTTAGAGCCAAAGTGCCTGAAGTCTGGCACCCTGAGACAACCCTCCCAGGCACACAGGTGGTGGCACCCAGAGCTCATGGGGGAAAAGCTGAAGTTACTGGCATTCTTCAAACAACAGCCAAGGGTAGAGCCCCAGGTCATGCTTCCAGCTTGCTCTTGTCAAGTATGGGTGACTTGAGGAGACCAGAAAATGTGTGGAGAGAGAAGGGGATTTCAGTCTTTCTGAGGCTTTCTCAAAGTGTTATCACACAGCACACAGATGTCCCATACCACAAGACCTCGTGTGGGAACTCAGAGGCCCCACAGCTGCAGACATGGTGGTGACAGCAGTTATGACAGCATGGGAATGTTCAGATTCAGCTTGTGCTCTTATAGCAGATCCACCCAGCACTTTCACTGATATTTATCCACATTCAGCTCACTACATTCATTCCAGTTGATCTTTTGCTGATTTTCACATCTAGTCGAATGGTATAATGCAGATCTACTGCAAAGTTAAGCTGCAAATTTTGCAAAAGACACGGGATATCATGAAGTTGATGAAAGTAATGTGGACAAAGCCTTTATACATGAGCAGTGGGCACATTTAACAACCGCCCAAAGGGAGGACAACTGGTCAAGGAAGAGACCGCAACACGTTCTTCTAAGGCACAAAGATATCAGAGAATCCTGGGAGAGAGAAGTAGCCCTTCTCTCAGACAGAATATTTGCAGGAATATTTCTGCAAAAGTAGCTGTCTAAATTTATGCTGCTGAGGTGAAGGGGTACCTACCATGCTATCATAAAACTGATGGAAAAATTAAACTCTCCCAAAACTAACCAAACTCAGTCATTATTGGATCATTTGAAGAATTAACACACCCTTGCAATTATCACCAAAGTCCTAGTAAGATAAGATTTAGGAGTTATTTTCATTATTATTAATTACTAAGATAAAGCCCCACTCACACCTAGTAGGCGCTAGTTACTGGGATAACTGAACTACATTTTGAGTGGATTCACTTTGTGGCCCTTTGCTAGCAACTGACTGCCCACAAACAGCAGACCCTGCCCCTCACGCCCATTCTAGTGGGGTGGGATGTTGCCACTGTAGGAGGCACAAAAGGGGCCACTGTAGGAGGGTGACATTCATGTCATTATTACATTCCCATTTATTCTTTTCCATACCAATTGAATTTTTAACACTAAGGATACCTCGCTTTTATATACAATCAGCAACAAGCAACAAAGAGTTGTTACCTCTTTGCACAAGGCTAGGACTTCCCCTACTTAATGCAATGTGGGAAGGTCAGGGTCATCACAAGGCCAAGCACTGTGGAAGCCTGTGACCTGCCTCTAAAGGGTCACAGAGGCCAGGGGTGGGGGGCTGGGCATGACAACAGAGGCCTACTCTCAAGGATGGAGGTGCTGTCAAGACAACTGCAGCACAGCTGCAGCTAAGAGTCCCACTGACCAGTCTACTCTCACTGAGTTCCCTCAACAATCCAATGGAAGCATTATCAAGGCCATCATCTTGTTTAGATTTTGACCACACATGATCACTACAAGAAACAGGCCCTTTCAGCACTCTGCTTTCCTAGAAACCCTTCTGGACCATGGCATCTTACTGCCACACCAGCCTTAAACATGCTGGTGGGACTCCTTCATTTCCATCTCAAGGAGCCAAGGGGGTACCTTGCTCAACCCAGACCTCAGGCCAGACACCCAGCAAACCACACTAGGGGAACCCCCTACCAAGACAGACTTAGAAATTCGCAATACAGTGTCAAAAATTTTACAAGGATTCAAGAAGTTCCTCTGAAGGAACAGGGAAGGGACAGCTACTTCTGGCGGCCAACACCCCTCCCCTGCCTCTCAACTGCTGGAAAACTGACAGCTGACCAGCCAGATCACGAGAGCCTTGCCCTGAATTCACCCACAACAGACTAGGTATCTAAAGACCAAGGACCAAGCTGTCACCAACCACAGTATGGCTACAGTCTCATGAGGAGAATCATCTGTGAGCTCCCAGGATGGTTGTGAAGACAAGGGCAAAAGGAATGGATAAGATAGAACTTTGCCACCTGAGGGCACTTCAGTCAGATGGCAGGATGGCGGCCCCTCAGCAGAGCTCCTCCTCACCTGCTGCACAAGTTCAGGGGGCAGTTCAGCTCTCCACTGTTTCAGCTGGCGTGAGGCGAAGGAGTGCAAGGCATAGGACATAGTACCATACTCGATCCACAGGGATAGGTTGGAGCTGTCGATCTCCAGGGCCCGGCGGAAGCAGTTCAGGACAGGCGTGGCGTGCTTCCAGATGGGCCCATCACTCTTCAGCTCATTGGAGTTCAGCTTGTCCTGAATGCGACTGGCCCGGGCCAGAGCCATGCCTGCCCAGGAATCAAACCTGTGGTCACAACAAAAGCACCAGTAAACATACCACTGCCCTTACAGCACTGTAGATATGATAGATGGGAGGGTGAGGCCCCCAGGTCTGGGGCAACTCATTTCCCAGGCCACCCAGAGCCCAGCTCCACCACCAGGGACTCTATGTCTCTGAGCTATAAAACATGGTTAAGAAAACCCACCTCAAGAAAGCAGAGCTGCTGGGACACCACAAGACATGTATTTGAGGTCATCCAGCACCTCACAGGTACTCAGTAAGTGTTCTAAGAGGATCCCCACCAACTTGAGCCCAGATTGTGCTCACCAGCATGGTGGGCTCTTGGACTCTGGTCCCCTTTGCTTTCTTGCTTGGAAGGGTTACCCACAGAATGTTTCTGATGGAAAGGAAAAGGAGTCCTTTACAAGCCATGTCCCATCCAAGGCGACAGGGAGGCTCCCATCCCGCTGCCTCACCCAACCCCTCACTGGTAGCATCTGCCATTAACACATTCACTGACCAAAAGTATGGGGTGGCCAAGACCCTGAAAACACTGCCATGTAGCTTCTACATAGTTCTCCCTCTGGAACCCTGACCAAATCCTGCCCTCTCCAGCTCAGTTCCCAGCAGTAAGATGGAGAGTGAGGGGACCACAGGATGGCTGAGATCCTACTGCTCTGAGATCGCCTGTAAGTGGTAGGGAAAATGCAAAAAATTCTCTAAGATGGAGACCAAGGCCAAGAGCACTTCGGAAAGTGGAATTTCCTGAATGCGTGTACAAACAACAGAAGGCAGCAATCACATGACAGAAGCTTCCCTCTACAAAATGACAATTCTTGACCCACTGCTACACTAACTTTAAAAGTAGCCAACTGGCTTCCTGGACTATTTGACAGTCCCCAAGGTGTGGCAAGAAAAGAGCAAACTTGTGAGGCTCAGATGTGCCCAAATGTGTCCAGGCACCCAGAGGTGAGACAGCACAAGTGAAGGAGCAGTAAAGAGGCCTGAAGGCTTAAATGGTGACAAGGGATAGGAAAAATAAAGGCTTTGGCCCCTATATGGAGATCTTGAGTATACTCTTTCTTCCTCAGGGCCTCAGGATTCAGGGCCTGCTCAGGTCACTTCGAGGAAGAAGCATTGGGGTAGGTGTCAAGTTCCCCTCCAGATGGTGGGAACCATGTCAGGGTCTTTCTACCAAGGCTAGCAACTTCCACATTGAGGATTTTCCCCTCTTGATTCTTCCCACAGTACCTTTGGCACCACTCTTTGCCCTTGCCTGGAGGGAAGGGACCACATCACAGTGTAGGCCCAAACACCTGCATGAGTCCCAAAACAGAAACCACTATCTGCACTCACAAATATGAGTAACCAAGAACACAGACACATCATCATAAAAACTCAAAATGCTCTTCTACGTGTCAACAAAATAAAAGTCCTGACGTGAGTTCTTGATTCTAGCAGAGCAATACACACTCCACACTTGGGGATTGCTGACCCACAGGGACACTCGGGAGCCCAAGGGCCAGTGATGTCCTGAACTCAGGAAGAGGAAGTGTCCAGAACCTGTGTACTGGGCTCTTACTCATACACGGCATGCCCGCTCCTAGCACTGGGCCCAGAATTGTTTCTTTGGCAGAGGGATGAGCTGTATTGGGGCCTACTCCCAAATTGTCCTCCCAAATGCCACTCTATGAAATGCCTGGCCAAGGTGACCCAATCCCAGCTGAGCAAGAGCAGATGGAATAGTGAAGTGAACACAGGTGAGGAAAGGTGTTGCCAGCATCTTCACAGACTCTGTTTTCCCCACAGGAACCACCAACGCACACTTTGGCCAGAATACTCCACCATCCACTTACCTGTCTGTCAAGCGCTTCTCCTATACCTGGTGGGCCCAGAAGATTTCAAGAAAAAGCCAGTATCTGAACTTCCCTCTTAACTAGTACAGAAGATGAGACTGCGCCCAAGTCCTCCCTAACATCTGCTTGTTAGAGCCACAATGAAGGAGCCCCAGGAATGGGCCACCAAGTTCCTCCTGGCCCTGGGATCAGTACTCACAGGACAACCCACCTCTCTGGCAGGGTTCTTGGCAGGCCAAGCCTGACAGGTTGGTATCCTCCGAACAGGTGCATATACAGGTTCAAATGAGGACCAGCTGAGCTGTTATGAACTTCGACTCATAGCCCAAGTGGCTACTGGGTGAGAAGTGCCACGCCAGGCTCCCACCTCCCCATGGACAGGTGGGTTTTATCACCCTTACTTTTCAGACATGGAGACAATGGCACAAAGGAGGTGACTGCTCCCTGTCTAGAGCTATGAGCTCTCAGCCAGCCTGAGCATGGGTCTGCTCCACCAAACTGGCCCATAATGACCCTAGAGAGGACATCCAGCACATGGCTCCCTGCCTAGAGGAAACCACAGGCTGAGCAATAGGTCTGGGAGAACCTTTCCCACAAAAAGTTGTGTAAAATGGTTTCTCCATTCAGATCCCAGACCCTCTCCCCTGGGCCAGGTGGATCCTGACAAGGTGGAGCTCGCCAGTTTCACCTGAGGATAGGCAGCCACTGTGGCCTGGCCTCTGAGTACTTACCTACAGATACTACTCTGGACCCTTCAGATACAAGGCTTACCTTGACCCAAGGCTTATTACCTCCTAGGTGTGGCAGCCATGAGAAAATGTTCTCTCTCAATCAAATGAATCAGACTTTATAAGCTTAGCAGGGCCCTTTAAGGATGAACAGGTCAATCATAACTTTTTAAGAAAAAGCCACCAGGGCTTGGTGGGAAGAAAGCATGTACAATATGCTCTCCTACTTCTACTGCCATGACAATTGCTACAGCCAACAATGCATTGCATCAGAACAAGAGAAGAGAACCTCTAGCTTGAGTGTTTCTATTACTCTCCCCTTACCCCAAAATAAGGAAACAACAATAACTGAAGAGACATAGTACACATTAGCCCACTTCCTGGGGCCGGGAACCAGGAAAGGAGACAGCACACAACCAACAGCCAGGTGGTACACCCTTGCCCTGCTGGCCTGAACCCAGATGGACACCTCATGCCTCCTCTGATCCCAACACTCATCCCAGGCATCTTCTGGAAAGAAGTCTTCTTCATTGCTTTTCTTTTTATGAAAAACTTGCTTTTTCCCAAAACTGCACAGTGCTAAACATACTCTCTCATTCCTTTTTCCCTGGTCTCTTTGCCAGGGCAGGGACAACCCAAACTGGCCCAGTGAGGAGTTGCTGAGCTGGAGTCACCCCAGCCCTCCCTGCCTACCCTTTGCCCAGGCCACTGACCTGTTGGGGCAGATGCAGATGTCGTGCATGTAGAACTTGATGGCCTTGGATTGCTCCTTGTTTTTGAAATGGTAATCAGCCAGGAGGTAGTAGAGCTCATTTACCACTGGAGGGGAGGGGTCGGCCCCTTCTGGGAGGCAGGGCACCTGCCAGATGAAGGACCAAGGATAAGGGGAGATGGAGTCAGGGTCTCAGATGTGACCAGTAATGCTGCAAACCCAAAACCATTCACATTAGCACAGGACAGACCCTAGGCTTCTCATGGCCCTGACTTCTGGGCAAGGAAAGAAGACAAGCCACATAACCAGCAGTGCTGGAGGGAAAAAAAAAATGACAGGACACAACCCTGTCACACTCAGTTCCTACCTCAGCTGAGGCCCCCTCAATGTAGGCAGAGACTTTGTCCAGGCTCAGGGCTGGCCTTTCTGTGCGGGGCACAATGGTGGCGATTCTCTTCAGAAGGTTTGCCAAGTCAGCAGACACAGTGCTGGTCTTGTAGCTGTCAAATTCAGGAAGGGTCTTGGGCTTAAAATACTCAAACATAAACAGGGCATCCTCCCATATAAGGTCCACCTTGAGAAAAGACAGAAAGTGGATCATAGTGTTGTTGGGGTAAAAGCAGAAAGGGAAAAGTTCCTCCATGGGAACAATGCAGATGAGGTTACAATATATTAGAGTCTAGAAAAAGTCCTGTATACTCTTAAAAATTCATATGCCCACTATAATCCCCAAAACCAAATGTCTAAAGAGCAGAAAAGTAAACGGACATAAGCTCGGCCTTTATAAAGACAAATACTGGAAACCAAGGGCACATTCTGTGAGTCCATGCGGCTGAGCCAGAGCATAGGTTCAGAAACGAGTGGGAACTGCGGCCAGGCCACTGCCCCTCCCCTTGAGCCTCAGCTGCCCCACTGCCTCTCGGAGCCAGGCGGGTTCTGCTTTCTGTGTAGGGCCATGAGCAGCTTATGTTCAGGGCATGGAATTAGTAAGATTGGAGAATAAATGACGAGCCATGAGGTGATACACCCAATAGTGCACTGAAAACCAAACCTCTAAGGAATTATTAGTACTATCCAAATTGGAAAAAGAAATCCTTTGAAAATTGCCATGCTGCACTTTTGAATGATTAGTCAATATCACGAAGCTAGTTTTTACAAGGAAAACCCTCTGACCATGCTCTCATTCTCCTGGTGCACCCCCAAGAGCTGTGTATCTGATGTCCTTCAAGAGTGCTCAGAGCCCCTGCTTTTCTGAGCCCCAATCCTCTCCACCAGGGCAGGTGTGGTTGGTTTGGGCAGCACCCTCACCTGCTGGGCTGAGTGTTCCTCCAGGTACCTGGCCTTGCTCTTCTTGCTAGGGAAGCTGTACAGGCAGTAGAAGCACTGCTCCAAGGCCGTCTCCAGCTCCTCCTTGTAGGGGTGTGTGTCTTCAGAGGTGGATGCAGCAAGCTCCTTCTGGAGAACTCGTACCTATGGTAGGCAGGGAGAGACTCCTGAGAAGGCCCATAGCTTCCCTGGCACAGTGGGACCCCAGGAAGACCACCATTGTCAATTCTGTTAACCTGAGGAGGCCATGTCTGTTGGACCTGTTTACTGGAAAGGGTCTATTATCCTCACAGGAGCCATTCTGGGCCTGCTCTGACAGTGACTTCCTGAGGAGTTTGCTTGCCAAACTGCCTTCCTTCCAGTATGCCCACTCAGTATCCACCAGCTACTAGAAGGAGATATTATATACCCTCTTGGAACTTCTCTTATTTATTAGGCCATTCATTTGCTCTCCAAATATTTGCTAAGTCCCTCCTTATGCTAGGCACAGTGTGACATAGTTCCTGCTTTTAAGAAGCTCAGATCCAATACAGGGGCAGTTAATTAAACATGAAGTTATAATGCAAGATGGTAAATCCCATTAGGGCTGAGGAAGTCTGAGAGAGACTCCCTCTATTTCAGCACAAAATATAAAGATATAACACAAAATGTATCCAAAGCAAAAAATAAATTCAAAGCACAAAATATATCAAGGAAATAATAAATTGTCTCTCTCAGACAAAACATTAATAAGGATTACAGAAGATGTAAATCCCACATTACAGAAGATGTAAACAACATAGTCAACAAGTAGGGTATCTATGGAGATTAGCTCCAAAGGCTATTGTTATGCCCAACTCTTAGCAGCTACACATTCTTTTCAAGCATCCATGGGATTTTTACCAAAACTAGACAAAAAGCACATCTCAGCAAATACTAAAGACAAGATACAATACAGACCACAGTCAATGAACATAAGTCAGTAAAATTAGAAATCAGCATATAAAGGTAGCAAATACCAAATGTGAAAACTTACAGCATGCAGCTAAAAACATATTTGGAGAAAACATAACCTTCAAAACATGTAGTAGAAGAATGAATGCTGTCACTACGTGGCCATCTAAGCATAGTGTAGTTTCAGGGACTTATTAGCACAAGGCCTTTCCCATATGCTTCTACACATAAGTTGAAAAAGACTTAGACCTTAATGAAAGGAAGATGTTATTTGAGGAATGGTTTAAGCGTGGTGTAATTTCAAGGTGGTAAGTGTATAGCTTTTCCCATAGGCTTCACACATATATTTATTACACTTATATCTTGATAAAAGAAAGAAGTTACTGGGACATCTGGGTGGCTCAGTCGATTGAGCGTCAGAATCTTGATTTCAACTCAGGTCATGATTTCAGGGTCGTGAGACTGAGCCCCGCATGGAGCTCCATACTTAGCGGAAGTCTGCTTGAGGATTCTCTCCCTGTCCTTCCCCCAGCTTGTGAATGTGCTCTCTCTCTCTCATGGGGGGGTGGGGGCAGGGAGGCAGAGGAAGAGGGAGGAGCACTTGGGACTCAATTCCAGGGACCCAGGGATCATGACCTAAGCCAAAAGCAGACACTTAACCAACTAAGCCACCCAGTCAACCCAATAAATAATCTTTTTTTAAAAAAAAGAAGTTAGCTGAAGGATGCTTTATAACAGTGTCCTTTCAAACAATTCAGCAAATGTCTTTACACACAGGCTTTTAAACATAAGTTTGTAAGCACTTATATCCTAATGTCAGGAAGATGTTACCAAATGGCCTTATACAAGGTGTTGAGCACATAACTTTTCCCAATGCTTCTGTACCTAACTTAGAAACACTAATACCTTAATGATAACAAGATGTGAAAAAAACAAAAAGAGTGAACACTGAAATAAGCTTTCACCATGATTAAATTTAAAAAAGCACAAAATATATCCAAAGAAATTATAAATATTAATGTGGAAATTAATTAGAAAGCAAAGAAAAAAACAGATCAATAAACCAATAACTTGTAGTTTGAAAAAATGAATTTAGATAAGCTTCAGCAAAAATGGGCTTATAAAAAAGGAGAGGAAGCAAAAATAAATGATTTTAGCACTGAAATGGGAGGCATAACCAGAGGTACCAAAGAGACTTTATAAATCATAAGCATACTTCATGAACAACTTTATGCTTATGTAGACATTATTTCAAAAATACAATTGGTTTAAAAAAAGAAAATCTAAATGGACCTAGAATCACCAAAGAAAGAATCAATATTTTAAAATTTATCCCCCAAAAGAGAGAGAGAGAGAGCTCTAGGCTGGGGTGACAAACTATGGCCTACAGGGCAAATCTTCCCACTGCCTATTTCTGTATAGCTCAGAAGCTAAAACTGACATTTAACATTTTTAAATGACTAAAAAAAATTAAAAGAATAATATTATTTTGTAACATATGAAATTCAAATTTTAGTATCCACAAGTTTTTACATATTATCTTTAAATACTGGCCATGGCTGCTTTTGTGCTACAATGGGAAAGCTGAGTATTTGCATCAGGGACCCTATGGCCAACAAAAGCCTCTAAGATTCACTATCTGTCCCTTTAGAGTGTAAGTTTTGTCAACCTGAAAAGCATTATGACAAGAGAAAAAAAGAAACTGTAAGAATTGAAAAGAAGATAAAAAAAAATAGTTATTTGTGGACGATATATAACTGCCTACACAAAAAATCTGAGACATCTACAATCCACCAGAATTAATAAAAGCAATAAGCAAAGGAGCTATGCACAGGAGAAACTTTTTTTTTTTTCCACAGAGAGAGAAAGCCCACAAGCAGGGGGAGCTGCGGGCAAAGAGAGAAGCAGACTCCCCAGTGAGCAAGGACCCCCACCCCCACCCCCCATACAGGGCTCAATCCCAGGACCCTGGGATCATGACCTGAGCCAAAGGCAGATGCTTTACTAACTGAGTCACCCAGGCACCCCGAGAAATTTATTTTTTAAAATGTAGTGTTCCTATCTGTACACAAACACAAAATAGAAAACTTAATTTTTAAATATCTATCAACAACAGGAATAAAAATAATAATAATAATAAAAAAATAATAATAATGCTCAGGTATAAATCTAATAGAATACATGTAAGAGTTTAAGGAGAAAATTATATTAAGGGACATGAAAGTGTAAGACCTCAATAAATGGAGAGATATACTATATTCATGACTAGAAAGAATCATATAAAAATGGCAATTCTCCCCAAATTAATCTATAAGGTCAATGACATTTCAATTAAATCCCAGTGGTGGCGAGGGTTGGGGAATGCGGGATGCACAAAATTTTACCAACTGATCTTACAATGTTTCAGAAGATGAAAGTACAAAGAACAGTCAAGAGTATGTGATAAATAGGGATCCCTGGGTGGCGCAGCGGTTTGGCGCCTGCCTTTGGCGCAGGGCGTGATCCTGGAGACCCGGGATCGAATCCCACATCGGGCTCCCGGTGCATGGAGCCTGCTTCTCCCTCTGCCTATGTCTCTGCCTCTCTCTCTCTCTCTCTGTGACTATCATAAATAAATAAAAATAATTTAAAAAAAATTATAAAGAGTATGTGATAAATAGGTAAGCAGATTAATCCTAGCAGGTATCAGTATCTCTCAAAGACAATGTGGTACTGGCACAGGAATACCTAAACCAATAGAAAGAACAAAATTCAACAACAAACCCTCACGTGTATGGAGAGGGCCTTACAAATTAGTGCAGAAAGAACAGACTCTTTCATGAATGGTACAAACCAACTGGCCATCCATATGGAATGTAAAATGAGTCCCTATCTTATGTCCTAAATAAACAAAAATTGAGAAGGAATAAAGACCAGATGTGAAAAAATGAAAGTGAACTTTAACAGAAGAGAATATCTTTATAATCTTGTGGAGGAAGGATTTCTTAAAGTACAATAAACAAAACAAAACGCCACACACAGAAAACAAAAACCCCCACAAACCATAAAAGACTAATAAATTTGACATTTAAATCCTGTAAAGCAAACACTATACACAAAGTTAAAAGACACATCACATAAAATTGCATAGAAATTAGAACTAAATACACACATGTAAAACTGGTGAAACATATATATATCAGATAAAAGACTGGAACTCAGAGTATATAAAGAACTCCACAAATCAATAGAAAAAAGAAAAAAGCCCAACAGAAAAATGAACAAATGATATGAACAAGCAAATTGTTAGAGGAAACCTAGAGGGACCTGGGCAGAGAGAGGGCAGTCAACAAGCCAGGGCCGACTCCACAAAGGTGAAGTTGCTGCAGGAGCTGGAGGAATGGGAAAAGCTGGGTCTTGGGTAGAAAAATCAGGAGCTATGAAATGAAACATGGAGGTACTCCTCTATCACTTCCACTCCGTCAAATTCACTTGGCAGATCCTAGCAGCTGGAATTCACACTCCATCAAAAAAGATGCAGACTAAGGAAAACCCGGAGTAGGATCGTCCCATCATCACTTCTGCTGCCGGCCTAGAAGGCCGCTCCTCAGCACCACTTCTGCTGGGTACCAGCTTGCAAAGGTGCTACCTCATTCTTGACTTTCTCCCAAGCAGCATAGGGGCAGAGGAGTGACTGACTGCCTCATGGAGGTGACCCTGTGGAAGTAGACAATGTCTCCACACTCTCTAACTGGGAGAGCAAAGCCAGAAGAATGAAGTTGCCAATTCCTGGGCAGCAATATAGTTAGTCTAAGCTTAGCACGATTCTTCCAAAAATGGTCCTGAAGTGTGAAGTGTGGAGCTGACCTAGGGTGAGCACCCGGGAGGCCCTCAGAACTCACAGCATGGAGCAGACATTGAGGCATCTACAGCTGGCACTCCTGCCAAGTCTGCCTCCTCAACATAAGTGCTCTGCAAACTGTCAAGCACTACACATACATGAGCCCTATAAATATTCTGTCTCGTTCATTCACTCAACCCATTATTTATTAAGCACCTATTATGGGCTAGGTGTGCTGGGTTAAGGTACTGGGATCCAGCAGTGAACAAAAGTAACAAACATCCCTACTTCATGGAAGTTACATTCCAATGGAGAAGAAGCACACAACAAACATCTTAGATAAATAAATCCTATAGCATGCTAGAAGGTGGTAAGAGCCATGGGGAAAGCACAGGGCAGAGGAGGAAGATGAGACTGCAGTTATAGAGAGCATATACTTGCTCACTGAAAAGATATAGAGCAGAAGTCGGCAAACCTTTTCCTGAAGAGACACACAGTCAATATTTTAGGTTTCATGTACAATATGGACTCTATCAAAGCTCCTCATCCCTGCCACTGTGTTGCCAAAGCAGGCATAGTTGATACATAAATGAATGGTTATGGCTATGTTCCACTAAAACATTTATCAATAGAGCTTGGGTGCCCCTCTCATGCTCTATAACCTATCTGTGTGCTACCTGGCCTCACACTCAGCAGCAAGTTTTAGGGATGGTAATCATACTACTTATCTCCAGTATGTCCAGTAAATCACAGCAGCCAAGTGAGAGAAGACCATCTGCACTCACTATTTACTCACGAAATAGCTAGTGATTCAGCAACTACTTCCTTGTATGAGTGGTGCTTGGCAGAAAGGACTCAATGGAAGGCAGTGGTGAATGCAGTTATTACTTCTAAAATTACTATGAAGGGCCTGGCCCTATGCCCGACATAACAGATGCAGTAACAAGCAGTGGTTCTAAAACTACCTGCAGGTCAAGGCCAGGTCCAGAACCCCTGCACCTCGAGTGCACAAGGGAACAAAGTTCAGACTTTCTGGCAACTCTGAGTAGTCACATACAAAATCAAAGAAGGGCAGCAGGCCGCAGTGCAGGGCAAGGCCAAGCAAGCAAGCCTCAGGGTGCCAACCCATCCCACCCTGCACCCCACCCCCAGCCCTGGCCAAGAGAGCAGCACTTACGTAGAATCGCAGCAGAGCCCCATCGGAATTGCAGCACCAGGACCTCCTACCCAAATACTCGTGGGCTGTGTTGAGTAGCATGAGGGAAGATGGGAGCATGGGTGTCTCTGCCATCACTAAGGAAAGACCAGACCAACACAGAGTTAGCATGGGGATAGCGTGGAAGCTACAAGGCTCAATAGTTCCTTAGTGGGCTTTACTGTGTTTACCAAGGTGGCCACAGATTCTTCTATCCTTTTTTAGCTTTTTAAGTAAGTAATGACCTGAGTGCCTTTACTAAAGCAATACACACTTCTCAAAAAAACAATTCAAATCATACCAGACATAAGAATGCCTACTGCACCTCCAGTTAACCACATTGACATTTGTGGGCACATATGAAACATTTTGAAAGAGAAAGATAAATAATGTTTAACAATGAAACCCATACTACATATACCATTTCTTAAAGATTCTTATATGTAGGCCTATTGGAGTATTACAGAAGAAAAACAGAATTATTAAATTTCAGTTAAATTTTCTAGTGTTTGTTCACCACTAGAACTATTACTAGCAAAAACAAAATAAAATAAAATAACTATTACTAGCTCCTTAAAGATCCTTCAGTGTTTTTGAAACTCTGGGCTATAACCCACTAGTGGGCTTGTAAGCAGCATTTTTAAAGACACCCAGGCATCCCTAGAATTAGGATTCTTTCATGAAATTTGTTTCATACTTTTTTTTTTTTAAGATTTTATTTATTTATTCATGAGAGAGACAGAGAGGCAGGAACACAGGCAGAAGGAGAAGCAGGTTCCATGCAGTGAACCTGATGTGGGACTCGATCCCGGGTCTCCAGGATCATGCCCTGGGCTGAAGGTGGCACTAAACCGCTGAGCCACCCAGGCTGCCCTGTTTCATACATTTTGACCTTTGGCCAGCCCCAGTCAAAAAGGTATAAAAGGCAAGGATTAAAAAAAAAAAAAAAAAAAAAAAAAAAAAACTCAGAAAATCATGAAGAAATTAAGCCACTCCGGTTTTCTATGGGTCCTTTAGTTTCCATTTTCAACAGCATCAAGTGATTCTATTGCACAAGATGGATGATAGCTTGTAACATTTCCTTTCTCCCCATCTCCCAATTTTGTTGTAGCACTTCTATAGCACTTCAAAGTTTCTAACACTGTGATCCCTGGGTGGCGCAGTGGTTTGGCGCCTGCCTTTGGCCCAGGGCGTGATCCTGGAGACCCGGGATCAAATCCCACGTCGGGCTCCCGGTGCATGGAGCCTGCTTCTCCCTCTGCCTATGTCTCTGCCTCTCTCTCTCTCTCTCTCTCTCTCTCTCTGTGACTATCATAAATAAAAAATTTAAAAAAATTAAAAAAAAAAGCAAAGTTTCTAACACTGATAACTCTGTTCTGCAACCATAATTAGCACAGGTGCTTTCCCTCAATTTCAATTCTAAATGGATTTGGTGTTCAGCACAAATTCTTGCCCATGGCTTTTCCACCCCGATGAATTTCATTCTGACTCATATTGGTTTACTGACTTCATCCTCCAGCAGTGTTTTTAGAAGCACCCACAGGAGCTAGGATCTCTGTTTATAAATGTCTATAACCACTATTAATTACAAACAACTTGGTTAGACGTCCTAGTTTGCACTGTCTTTCCCTGAGAATAGTGTAGACTTTTAGACATCACCTCAACTGCCCTGAATATGACTAGGGAGAAATCAGAAATGAGTCTCATGTTTTATCCCATGAGGATAAACTGCCTTTTCAGTTTAGAAATCTAAAAAATCTTTATTCTTGAAGTAGATTCTTAACCAGGATTTATCTTGCTGTATATCAATTTTTCACAGCATATACTAAACACTTTAAATCTGCACACTGTTTTTATTACAGAGAAATGTTCCAGTATTTGGTTATTTGTCCTGTTTCATTGCTAGAGTCTTACCATCAGGAGCACAATTTATCCTCGCACAGGCCCACCACTGTTTCCCTCATCTATCCTTCTCATCAACAACACTTTTAGCTCTAAACTAAAACCCTGGTTTCAGTTCTAGCCATACTCATTCTGCTCCTTGCAGTCTGGTTTATTAGTTTATAGTGGTGAGGCTTGGTTTGCAACGTTTTCCCTTAGTTTTGCAATTTTCCTCTTCATTTCATTCTGCTTATTAGTTCAAATTTTTTAATAAATCATTTCTTGTGCAAATCATTACCCGGCCCCTGCCTCTGTTCCTTGGTGTAAGTTTTCTTCCTGACTGAGTTAATCTGTTTCTTTTTCATCCTCCACATGGGGTGGGGAGTGGGCTACAATATGTTAGCATACTTGCCATGTAACTTCACTCTATCCTGCTCATGGTCCACTAACCACACTTCCTCCACGCTAAGTAAATGCTCTAATATATCACCAATTTTCTGAGGCACTCTCCAAATATAAGATCAATTTGCCCTTTCTTTAAAGCCATAATTTTAAAGTAGGCACTGCTCTCAATCCACTCTTTTGTAACCTGTATCTGCAGAGGTAGAAGGGAGATCACTGGACTAGTGCAGCAGGTAGTCCTTGCTGGGGAATCTGGATTTCGTCTTCTCTCTGAGATGACCTTTAAGATAGGACTGGTCGCTCTGTGAGAGGAGTATAGTCAGCAGACAGCCCCCCGTGGTCAGCTCCTCCAGGGTCTTCTACAGCTGCAGAAAGGCACCCCACCCAAGGTCATACACTTCCTGTGGGAATCCATGTGCAGTGACTGAGCAAGACGAGAGTATAACGACCAGCTACTTGATTCCAACATGGTATGATAGCTCTGGTGGATCACTCTGGCTCCAGAGTTCCCTGCCAGGTTGGCCAAGGCCTGGTCAGACCTGAAGTGCAGGTCAACTTCCCTCTGCTCCACCCTGCTTCCTCTCCCGTTACTTTTGCAAGTACCGATCCCCAATAAACCAGCTCAGAGAACTCAATACGACAATGTTCTACACTACTCTGGGCCCCTTATCACCCAGCTAGTAATGTGCTTTATCCCTGGACCCCTTGTCGTAGCACAGTCTGGTCACTGGAAGGTGGCAGGGCCCAGAAGTCCTTCTAATCTCTGCCAAACCAGGGTGATATGGAGGGGCTTCCTCACTAGCCCACTGTCTATAAATGAGAGGATACTAATATTATTTCCCAGGATTTTGCCAACTTCCCCATGTTCCCTCAGCCTTCCTACCAGGGGTAGAGGAGAGGACAGGAGCCACATCTGCTGCCAGTCCACCAGAATCTTGGATTCCTTCCTTGGCCTATTCTTTCAAGCTTATGGCATTCCACTGTCCCCCTTTCCTTGTTTGCTTATTAGCAGTTTTTTAAAATTATATTTTACTTGCATAATCAGAGGGAAAGGGAGACTCTTAATTCAGGAGTCTTTTGCATTATAATTATGAGAAAAACAATAAACTTAGATGTAAACCTCAATTTTTTCTCACCATTAAAACCCTTTTGGAAAATACAAAGGTACTACTTGTTAAGAGCTCAGAAGATATATATCCTAGAAATCTATCCAAAAAATCAATTAGGCAGAAGCAAAAAAGTATACATGAGGTTCACTGAAGTGTGAACTATAAGAGAGAAATGCTGCAGGCATCCTGAGGGGTCAGCAGACAGGATGGTTCAGTAAAGCAGGACATCTCTCATCAGCATTACAAAACCCAGAGAGCAAAACTGAAACAGCTTCATAAAATAAGGCCTGAAAGCCTTTCTCAATCTGGCCTTTCCCATGTCCAACCCACATGGCCCAGCTCTCTTGCATCCCTGCTCATGCTGCTCTGTCTCCCCAGTGTCCTCCTCTGCCCCTGCTCTTCTCTCAAACAGTCCAACACCACTTCACCCCCTGCCCCCACCCAGGCAGCATGAAGCACCCTTCTTTCAGTGGGCAACGCTGGCTTGGCACTGTGGATGTTCTGGTCTGTCTCCTCTCACCATGAATCTTTCAGAATGAAAGGTCTTATTCCCAGAGGCCTGACATGCAATGAGCAACTGATAAGTATCAGGGTAGTACACAAAGTTAGAGAGAATGAATGGAAGGAAACAGACTGCATGTTAACTCTGGCCTTCTCTACGTTGTTAGAATAAGGATAGCTTTCTTTCCTTTCCACTTTTCTGATTTTTCAAATCACTGAGGAAAAATCCCCAATATATTAATCTGAAGCTTAGTTGAATACATAAATATGTGCATTAAATTCTCAGCTACATAAAAAACTTGTGTCACTGGCCAAGTCTAGATGGAAAATGCAAGAACATTCTACCACTTGGTAGAATGACAGGGAATCTTTGTTTAAATGTCATTTAGCTGTTATTGTTAATTCTTTAATTCAACACATTTCCTACCGCTGCATTGACCTGGCTCAAGTACCACCTCCAATGAAGAGTCCTGGGCTCGCCATCTTCGGATTCTCGTTCATACTACTCATCATTTAGCACCCCCATATGCCAGGCACTGAATAAAAATAGCTGTATTATTTCATTTTGTCCTTGGTACAACCCCCTGAGATAGGTGCCATTATTCCCAACATCTATCTGGGGAATAGAGGCTAAGAGGTTGTATGACTTGCCTGAGGTCACACAGCCAATATGTGACAGTTGAGATTTGAAACCTGTGCTCACTCACTCCGTACCTCTCAGCTACCCACACCCCCACCCTGACTGGGTCATGCCAGCAGGGTCCACAGAGTATGGTGGTTAAAGCACAAGGGCCAAAAAATTAAATAAATAAATAAATAAATAAATAAATAAATAAATAAATAAATAAGCAAGCAAGCAAGCAAGCAAGCAAGCAAGCAAGCAAGCAAGCAAGCAGAAGGGCCAGTGCATGGCTACCCATCTCACAGGGCTGTCTTGGGGATTAAAGGATTACAGGGATTAAAGCGTGAAACTGCCTGGATCAGTGTCAGTGCTCCTTATAAGCATTGGCTGTGCTGTCATTCTGTGTTGCCACCTGCACCAGACATGAAATAGCACACACTCACTGCCTCTTGACACCACTGCACAATGAGCTCCCTGAAGGAGCTTCTGCTTCTGTCTGAGCACCACACAAAATCCTGCTGACTGAGCCCTAAGCCCACCCACAGCACCTGGACAGGGCCATTGGGGCCTACCCCGACCCGGACCCATTTCCTGCCACCTTCATCCGTTGGGTTCTGGAGCTGTTGCTGGTGACACAGGGATTGGAAGGTATCCTCTTCCTGCCAAATGATCCGGTGCAGGATGATCCAGGGCAGCACTGAAGAGACATGGGGATCCTTGGGCTCCTCTTGCACAGCCATGCTACAGTCAATGACCTGGGAGAAGGGGAGAGGGGGTTATCATAGTCAGCCAGCTGTCCCTCCCACCCTCTGAGATGATGACTCCTCAGGGCAAAGGTGGGGACACTGATTGAGAAGCATTACACCATATCATCAGAGTCCCAGGATGCCCAACAACAGAGTTAAGCCCAGACATTAGAAGAGGCAGCTCTGACAGTCTGCCCTCATGTCACATGCAGCTCCTGATGTCCTCGGCACCTATGCGCAGCATATGCCAGACATGAGGGTTACAGAGGTCAATGGCGCAGCGAGGAGTTGACAGTGCAGGGGGAAGAGAGCCACAGACAAGCCACTCAAGAGTTAAGAATCAGGGGCGTCTGGGTGGCTCAGTTGGTTAGGTAGCCAACTCTTGATTCTGGCTTAGGTCATGGTCACAAGGTCGTGAGATCAAGCCCTGCACTGGACTCAGCACTCAGAGAGGAGTCTACTTATCCTTTTCCCTCTGCTCCTCCCCCTGCTTGCACTCGCAAGTGCTTCTCTCTCAAATAAATAAATAAATAAATAAATCTTTAAAAAAAAATAAGAATCAGAATCAGTATAGCCGCTGTGATTAAAGTAGATGAGGGCCACAGTGGGGTCACAGAGGAGTGGGTAGGGACAGAGGAAAACCTTGAGGTTTCCCAGAGTGGAGTAACACTCCAGGTGAGTGGCTGTGGTGGAACCAATACCAAGAAGGCAGGAATTGGTGGCAGATGACAGGCATACAGGCAGATGCCCAGAGGCAGCCAAGGAGTGAAAGATGAGTAAAGAAAGCTGGGCAGGATGGTGCACCTTGGGCAATGGGCAACCGGGGGATTATGAAGGGTTGAAGAGAGGGAGGAGTACACTGATATTTCCATGTCAGGGTGATGGCTGCCCTGGGAGGGTAGAGTGGGCAAGGAGGAATGCAGGGAGCACGCTGCCATAGTTCAAAGAAGAGGCAGCAGTGGCCTAGAGCTAAGGCAGAGCACTATACACGGAGAGGAGAAACAAAGAATGGGGATGTTAAGGATGTGGGTTTGGCAGGACCTATTGATGGCCTGAGTAGTCATTGTCAAGAGAGAGCTTAAGGAAGGTTCCCTGCTATGAAGCCCACTTGGACGATGTGCAGTACTGTGACCACCCCGGCCATGAGAGCCAGGATGATGTGGGATGGTAAGAGAGCCCTGGTGGGGAGACAGAGGGCCTGGGATTCCAGTCCCAGCTCCACCTCCACCACACACAAGTCACGCCCTCCTGCTTGAGCCTGCTTCCATCCCTTGGGGATGGGTGGTATAGAAGAACCCTGTGGTGCCAAAGGCTCAGCAATCTCCAACTCCCAGACCTGAGCAGCCCCAGGAAGGTGTGCAGCCAGTGCATAGTGACCCCCACCACCTGAGGTGCCCGCCTCCTGCAACAGGAGCACCCAATGCATCCCCTTGGGGTCCTAGCTTGCAGTAAAGCCGGTGAGTTATGAAGAATGGGAATGTCCACAAGGAGTGGTGGGTTACCTGGATGAGGTTGTTGGTGAGCCGGGTGAGGCCAGTGGAGGCAGATGATTCCTTCAGGATGCTGCCACTGCTGTCAGCCGAGAGCGCCTGGTCAATGCCCAGCAGCAGCTGGGTCACTGTGGCCACCCACTCCTCCTTGGCTGCAGACTCACTCGCATTCACCATCTGCTGGACAGCCTCGTGCAAAGCCACATCAGAGCACTCGAAACACTGCCGGTGGTCCTTTAGCCGGAGCAAGGAGTCCTGAGCACAGGGAGGGGCGGGGAGGAGAAGGAAAGTGTACCATGACAGGGCTGTGATGTCACTCTGCACACCTGGTCCTCAGAACTGAGAGGCAGGTAGGTAGGGACAAAGACACAAGGGGCAGTCCAAAAAAAAGGGGAAGAAGAGGCTTTCCACCGGCCTTGAGGCATCTGTGAGGGCAGTCACAGCATGGATGTGCCAGTTAGGGGGCTTTCAGAAAGGGGCTTGACCTCTGCACCTCAGTTTCCTCATTTATAAAGCTGGAACACGGATGAGGCCACAGAGCCGGCAAGCCCCTAGGGTGAGGGTGAAGCTGAGTGAGTCCACTACCTCTGTCAGCTCTCAGCCGGAGCCACCATGACCCCGGCCACCCAGTCATGCACTCATCTGGTGCCATGGCTCTGGAGAAGTCTCAGCAGGGAGGGCAGGCTGCTAAGGAGGGACTCTCTCTGTGGAAGAGGGCCTGAGTCGAGGCCACGGCAGAGGCAACCAGCCAGACAGCACTAAGGTCATTGTTCTAAGCGTCCCCATCTGCCCCAGGTGCTCAGGTGGAACAAGGTACCAGGAGCAGAGAATGAGCACGCTCAGCCCCGTGCCCTGGCATGTGGAGGAGCTTGCAGTATATCACACTATTTTAACATCTCCTCTTAGGGAGCCATCGTTTTCCATGCAGCTCCCTTTCCTTTTGCTCTAGAACATAACCCACTTAAGCACCTCAGTCTCAGCCACTTTCATCACCATGCTGCTGTGTGGGGAAACTCAGCCTGGCTGTGAATTCGCGGATCTGGCAGGCAGCCTGTTAGAACAGCAGGAAGCACTTGCTGCCCAGTGCCCTATTAGGCTCTGACCTCGCCACAGCTGAGACCTGGCAACAGCTCCACAACACAGGCGCAGCTGCCACTCCCTGAGGTGACACAGACAGGGGTGGCCAAAACTGCCTTTGGGATGTGCTACAATGTCTGAACACAGATCAAAACCACCCCCAATTTAAAAGCCCTAATTGCCAGGAAAATGGACCCTGTGTTTCTTTAGAGAAAGCCAGTACTCTTTAGCAGGAGGTCCAAGGCATGAAGGAGTCTACAGGGTGCAGACATCGAACCCGAAGGCCCAAGCTGAACCCCTCCGATCAAACACTAATCATGCAAGGGATAGGGGCTTATTTTGTAACAGGATAAAGACTATGGATCTGAAAGTGCAGCCAGCGTTGCCATGAAAGTCAGGGACAAGACAAGATCCACCAGCAGTGCTCTAATGTGACATAATCCCTAGGGCTCAACGCTAGAAAGAGCTCAAAAGCACAAGAATAACTGCCAACAAACGAGGAGACCAAATTACTGCTGTGGGCAACATGATTGCCTACCCCAAACAAACAGAAACTATCAGAAATAACGGGCATGTAGCAAAGTGGCTAGATTTAAAATAAATGTGCAAAAATCAATAGGGTTCCTATAAACCGGAAATGTATAGTCGGAAAACATAATGACCAACAAAAAGATCCTGCTCGAAACTACAACCAAAAGTATCAAGAACTTAGAATCAATTTAACCAGAAAAAAAACTACACAATTTTATCAAAGAACATAAAAGGCAGCTTGCCTAAATAGAGCAAGCCATCATACTGCTAGAGAGAATTCCAAATCAGACCCCCTCCACAGACACACTATAAAAGCTAGACAAAGCACGATAAATGCAAAACTAACACCACTAGAAGAAAACAAAAGCAAATACACTTTTTTCTATTTGTTGACATGCTTCTAATCTGCCTCCCTTCTAAAATATAGGTTTGGCCAAAGGGGGCCTCTCTCCCCTGTCCAGTGTCAGGCACACTATAAGAGCTCAATCTATGTATGTGGAATGAGTGAATAAATATTCTTCCAATCTTGGAAAGGCTAAGCATAATGAACAAAATCACAAACATTTGAAAATATTAAAAGATTTGACAACATAAAATTCAAAACTCTTATATGTAAAAAAAAAAAAAGCCACAATTTAAAAGCAAACTGGGGGTGTTGCCTGGATGGCACAGTTGGTTAAGCATCTGCCTTTGGCTCAGGTCATGGTCCTGGGGTCCTGGGATCGAGTCCCACATTGGGATCCCTGTAGGGAGCCTGCTTCTCCCTCTGCCTGTGTCTCTGCCTCTCTCTGTCTCTCATGAATAAATTAAAATCTTTAGGGAAAAAAAAAAAAAGATTAGTATCTTTAAAATATAAAAAGCACTCCAAATCAATAAGAAAACATACCCCCTCCATGGGAAATTGAAAAACCAATGGTCCCTTATCCTCAAAATAAAGACCAGGTGCTTCCATAGCACTTGACCCAGGCCTCGCCACAGCTCTCTCAAGTACTGCTCAATGCCTGTCCAACCCATCAGTGGAGCACCCTGCACACCTAGGGGTTCTGGACTACAGGAGCAGTCTGACAACTGAACACTGGAGCCATCTTAACAGGCGAAGAGGGCTAGCTTCTCCCTTCTTCTCCCCACCCAATGGCCTCCCTGGTACACCCAGCCATCCCTCCCAAATGCAGTCATGCTGGACATGCCTCCACTCCCCCACATCCCACCCACCCCCACCCACCCCGTCCCCATAAGCCTGCAATCACAAGCCTGCCATGGTAACTGAGGTCAGACATATCTCAGCTCTTTATCTCAGCATGGGCCAGCCTGACCCTCCTCTGCCAGGAACTGGAACCTCCACCTCCCTTCCTCCCTCCCACCCTCTCTTCCTTCCCAGAACCAACTCTTTCTTCCCTTTCACCAGAATAGAGATGCCTCCATTTGCTCCTATAGTTGCACCTCTTAACTGTCTCACTGTTCAAAAAAGTTAATTGAAATGTCTGACATAATTAGAGCAAAAAGCCTGGGAGAAAATTGGGCTGTCTTTCCAAATTGAAGGGAAGGACCCAATATATAATAAATACAATGTGATTAGTGTGTAAACTATAAGGGACAAGACGCCAGACCACCCAATGCCACTAAACATATCATGTTTATCATCGAACCCCAGGCTTCCACAAGATGGTGGCACTAGTGAGAGCCAGCACCCACTCATATAGTGCTTGCTACATGCCAGGCGTGGTGCCAACACACACTAATTTATATAACCCCTGTAGCAGGCCTCTGAGGAATGGACTATGATCATCTCCATTCTAGAGATGAGGAACCAATGCACAGAAACTGAGTAACTGCCCAGCACCCAGCAGATTCTGACACCCAGTGAGCTCTCTGAAGAAGGGAGGCACAGAGGAGCTGAGAAGGCACATGGCTTCAAACCCCACAGTAGTGTTTTCTCTCAACCATGTGATTGTTCATGGATATTTATTTGATCTTGATTATATTGTATAGTTTGTCCATTTGAACGTCTACTCAAGACTTAATCTCAAAGATAATATAAAAAGACAGACAGATGAACAAATAGGTGGATTGATGGGTGACACCCTGACTACTCTTCCTTCCTCATCTGCCAGGCAGACATTCCAATTCAAGTATAGGTTCACACCTTGAGCCACACAGAATCCTACGACCTGCACTCCTAGGTTCCAGCTTCCCCTGGTCTTGACTGTATCTTCTAACTAGCATCTTCCTGGGTGCCAGTCAGCACTTTTTACTCCTGTTTTTTTCTTCCAGGTACATGTTCTTGAGGGCCACCTCAAAGCCTCCAGAGAATAAACCCATAACCAAGCAAAGAAGGTAGGAGGTCAGGGCAAGGGTCACCATCAGTAGCACACACCTGCAGCAGCAGCAGCTGGGCGGGCCTCTCTGGAATAGAGGTCATAAACTCCAGGTGTTTGGCCCGGTCAAATCCACTGGTACACAAGGTGGGGCGAAGAAGATGCACGACAGCCTTGTAGTCACCAGCCTCATAGAGCCGCTGAATCTCCTCCAGGGACTGGCACCGCTCCAGCGACTTCAGGTTCTTATCAATCTGGAAAAGGTCCAGACATGCTGCCCAATGACAAACCCCTCACATCCTCTCTGAATCTGGCCAGTGTCTGCATTTACTAGGCCCAGATGAGGAGTATGAAAGTAGATTCCCTGTTAATACAATCAGCATTTACATTAAACTAATGCATTATAAAAAGTACTTCTATTAAGGTCAAGGCATATTCAGTTCTTTAAAACAAACATAGAAAAAAATGGGGCACCTGGCTGGCACAATCAGAGTAGTACGTGACTCTTGATCCTGGGGTCATGAGTTTGAGCTTCACATTCAGTATAGAGATTACTTAAACACCTTTAAAAAAAATAGCAAAAAACAAAAACTACCCAAGAAGCAGAGAGGTTCCACAAAATTCTCTGCCAAAATAGTTGGACAGCGAACCAGACTCCTGGAACTGAGGAACCAGAGGCCACTGGGGACTTGGGTGAGCCCTGGGCCAGAGGCTGATACACACCATTGACCCACAGAACCCTCTCCTCATAGGAGTTCTGCTGTGGCCCTCAGAACACAGGGAGCAGGGACACTCCACTTGGCTTTGCCCAAAAAATGCTGCAAGAGTCTGAAGGCCACTCAGCTGATGTGGATATGTCACAGCCATGGAACTGTGGCAGAGTCTGAGGCTTCGCAATGAGAACAAGATCAGAACCAGACTGAGCCTGGTATACATGCCCCATACTGCTGACCCAACCCATAGCCAGACCAGCACTACAGGCTCCTTCAGCAGTTTCCCCTAATCCTGCTGGGGCTGCTCCAGCACACAGCCCAGAGAGTTGAGCAATGATCACTCCAGATCTTGCCAGTGAATGCCTCCCACCATCCCTGCCCCCTGGACTTACTTTCCCTCAGTGGGTGTGCCTGCGAGTCCAAAGTGCCCTCATGCACCAGAGCTGCCTCTCCCAGGCCCCTTCACCCTCTCCTGGGAGGAAGGAGCCCTGCTCAACCCTGGGCTGCTTTCCTGCTCTACAGGGACACAGGCCTGGTCTAACTGGGCCAACTCAGAATAAATCTTTGACTAAGAAAACACCATTAAATAACTCCCACTCACCTCCTCCAAGGAAACGACTGAATCATTATAGAGGTTGGGCAGGCGGATGACGATGTCTCTTTGCTCAGTCCCTGCCTCAGCCTGGATGGTAGTGGAGCTCTGGAGCATTTCTGTGCAGATGTCATAGTTTTCCAGGGCCTGCTCCATGTCTCCCTGGTCAGAGGAAAAGCAGTCAAGAGACGGGGGCAGAAGGAAGGAAACTCACCATGCAATGCCAGGCGCCTTACCCTCCTAATCCCATCAGACTACAGGCACCAGGAGGGCAGTTTTGTCCAATGACTGCTATACCCTCTAAAAGGTGACCTCACACACAGCTGGAGCTCAATAAGTATTTGTTGAATGAATGAATGAATGAATGAATGAACAATGAATGATTTGATTACTTCATACCACAATTCTAAGGAAAGGTATCGTTAACTCTATGTTGCCAATGAAGACACTGAGGATGCTTGAGTAAGGCTGAATGTCTTGTTCAAGATGAGGAGCAAATAAATAGCAGAGCCAGTATTAGAACCTATACCTGGCCTTAATTCCAGAACCAACTATGACAATTTTACCCATGCTACCACAGTGCACCGGGTACCACAATGTGAGTTGCTAAGTAATAATAGTCAGTCCACCCTGGCCATCCAGACCAGGCTCTGAGGGCAAGTGTTCTGAGAATTCACACAAGACGGGTGGTTTTTCCTTCTAAAAAGCTCTGCATCCATTTATGCACTCATTTAGGCTCTCTCAGGAAAACAAAGGCAAGGGGGTTCAAGACCCCAAGGCAATCCTGAGTGAGGAAGTCTACAGGAGGCATAGGAAATCCCTTCCAGAACTCTGTGGTCATGCTGATTTGCTGTATAGACTGAGGGCCAGGCTGAGATATCTGAGACCTGAAAATTCCCCACTACATCCCACTTCCTCACCCTGAGCCCAGTGCTAAGCAGGTGCCACAGGTGCACATACACACATATCCTTAACACTATGTCCAGCTCTCTTCCCTCCCTTTGGGTGCCAGGGAATGCCAACCACAGAACCAACCTGCAGTGCGAGGAACCGAGCCTTCAACCAATAAACACGGACCACAAACTCCAGCCAGCCATCCTCAAACAGGTCCCGCTGGGATGAGGCAAATGACAGCTGCAGGAGGTCACCCAGGAAGTGGGTTCCTGGAAAATCAGGCCCAAACCTGCCATTCACCACACCAGCAGGGCAGTTCCGAGGAGACACTGAAAACCATTCAGGCCAGAACAAGTCAACTTCATGTGCACATTCCAAACACCCTTCTGCTCCCTAGAGGTAGCCCTTAGCCCTCGTCACACCTGCTTTAGTAACCAGGAGTGCTCTGAGCCCCATGGAGCCCTACAGCCCCTTAAGTGGCAAGCATCAGAGAAGTCAGATAAATCAGACAGATGCAGAGACGCCAAGGGCCCTCATTTTACATAAACTTTGTTCACCAGTAGTGGTTTAAAAATCAGAATGATTCTTGGGCAGCCCGGGTGGCTTGGCGGTTTAGCGCCACCTTCAGTCCAGGGTGTGATCCGGGGACCCAGGATCAAGTCCCGCAACGGGCTCCCTGCATGGAGCCTGCTTCTCCCTCTGCCTGTGTCTCTGCCTCTCTCTCTGTGTCTCTCATGAATAAATAAATAAAATCTTTAAAATAAATAAATAAACAAATAAAAATAAAAATCAGAATGATTCTTATCATCTAGGAAAATTATTGGGACACATAGTATCAGGTTATAACTTGAGAAATTGGAGATCCTACTTCCTTCAATCCTGAATAACAGAAAAACCAAGCAGGTGGCTCCCTCTGGGGGCTCAGCTGCAGCTAACTACTTCTTGATCCATCCAAAGGATTTCTCTGGGACCCTGGATTTTCCCTAGTCCAACACTCCAACCCAGGAAATGTGCCCACTGCAGATGTAAATCTCAATTCCATGACTCAGGCTCCCCACTCCCGTTTCCTCCTGGATGCTGAGGGTTGAGAAAATTACTCCTGCCACAGACAACAGAATGCCTCCTACCTGCCGAGCTTCTGCCCTTCGTCAGCAGCCACTGGTCTAGCTGGAGCTCCATGCAGGAGAGAGACATCAGCATCATATCCTGCAGGGCAGGCACCAGGTCAGGAATGGAGTCACAAAGAGTCATCACAGGATGAGGTGTGGGATGCAATAAAAGTAAAACTTACTTTGATAAAGATATCATTCTTTCTTCAACCTACTTTTCTTTTTCTAATCAGTGGCTACTTGCCAGGACATAAAAAGAGGCACAGGGATCTACACTGGGACAAGACCTGGGAGGAGACGGAGACCTGTCTTCAGTCCTAAGGGACTGCCCTATGGAAGAGGCAGCTCTGTCACCTGCCAAATGCCAGGCCAGATGCTGCACCCATACTACAGCACTCAAAGCTTTAAAAGTGGCTGGGTCAGGCATCATCTCCACAGTCACAAGGAAGCTGAGGTCCAGCAATAAGGAGGCGCCTGCCAACTGGACACAGGTGAGAAATAATCAACCTGGTTTGCCTGGAGAGACCAAAGCCTCACCTGCCATCAGCCACTCCACACTGCCCCTGAGGGAGCAGGCCTAATGGGCAGCAGTTGGCAGGATACAGTCCCTGACGTGTTCCTGTGGAGGGAGCATGGACTTTCATGGCCCTAAGGACCAGTCAACTCCCTTGAGCTCTTCTACCTTCTGTGCCCCAGCCAGAAAGACCACCTAGATGGGCCCTAAAGGCTCCCAGTGCAACCTCCCTGGCATCCAGCCTTCCTCCTGTAACAGGAGAAGGGGACCAGAGTATTCAGTGTCCCCTTAAACCTCAGGAAGCACTGAATGGGGGAGCCTGGAGTGTGGGGTGCAGTCAGCAGGGGTGGGGGAGGAGGGCCTGAGCATGGGTCAGCCCCCTACTGCCAGTGGCCCCCACCACTTCCCTAAGCAACCTATTTAGCCTCTGCACTTCTATTTTCTCACCCACTAAAAAAATCAGTAATAGTCTCTGGCACCTAAACAGAGCCATATGTTTCACTTTTGTGCACCCTCTCCACTTACTCTCCTCCATCTCGGTAAACCACCCCACCACTAGCCCTAGAAGCCCTGCCCACTGTCTCATTCCCTCACCCCCACTTGTAGCTTATCCTGTCAGTTCTACCTCTAGAACCTTCCACCCCACTCCCACTACTGTCACTCACCTGGCAACAGCCTTCTAACAGCCTTGTGCCACTCTCACCTCCAAGTACAAGCTCCACTCGGTCACCAGGGTCCAGGCCCACAAATGGATGCAGCCGAGTAGGCTCAATATGACAGCAACTCCATACCCACAGAAGGTCCATGTGCCCACTCCCTGGTCCCAGCCCTCACGAGGCTGCCCGCCCACCTGACCTTGATGTGCTTGTTGCTGCAGTCCCTCAGCAGTGGGTTGGGGAGGCTGGTGCTGTGCCTCCTCCAGCTGTGATAGATGCTGAGCACAACCTCTGCCAGGCCTGGTGGCCACCTCAGCAGAAACTTATGGCCCATGTCCTTCAGGTAGCGCATCATCAGCTCCAGGATGCCCCCGTTGGTCAGGTTCTCCAGCAAGAATGCATGCACATCCTGCTTCTCTGCCCAGGGAGAAACAATTAACTTGAATTAAGGACCTTCCGTGCCCTCCTGTGTTCTTTGGAAGAAAGGCAGGTGTGGGGCAGGGCAGAGAGAAAGGCAGGAGAGCGCCTACAACCTCCCACGTGGCAGTGCTGAGGCCAGGCCGCTGGGTCCCTACCTCACTGGCTGTGAACAAGCTGCTCTGAACCTCCAGGTTTAAAGTGGGTAGTGAAGGACCAACCTGCATGCGCTGCCTCACGATGCACACTCAACAGCTGTGTCATGAGCAGTGTCATGAGCATTTGACTTGCAAAGCCATGCCCCTGGCTTCGGCCTGAAGCACACATCCTTCAGGGAGCCCAGTCAGTTATGAGCCTAGACATTTCAGCAGACCTCCCAGCTGACCACAGAGCTCAGGCCCAAGATAACTTCAGGCAAACCCCTGATAATGCTTTAAATATCACCCCAGAACCATTCTCCCAGAACAAAACCTAAGGAGGCTATAGGATAATAGAAGGAAGAGGGATGCCTGGTGGCTCAGTGGCTGAGCATCTGCCTTTGACTCAGGGAGTGATCCTGGGGTCCCAGGATCAAGTCCCACATCGGGCTTCCTGCATGGAGCCTGCTTCTCCCTCTGCCTGTGTCTCTGCCTCTCTCTCTGTGTGTGTCTCTCATGAATAAATAAATAAAATCTTTAGGGGAAAAAAAATGGGAAGAAGAATTCTCAACAGTGAATGATCAAGTTGCTCAATTCCTACCAGACTCCATGAATGTAGCCGAGTCATATGACAGTCGGTGAGGCCCAATGCTTGGGAAGCTTTGCAGTTTGGCTTCTGACTGGACTTCATAGGTATTAAAGGGGTCATCTTCCTCCTCCGGGTCCAGCTTTCTTAGCCTGTGTGGAACACACCAAAATCACAAAAGCCACACCAACATATCCTGACATAAGCACTTGAATTCTTCCAATTAGAGAAATGAAAAGACAGAAAAAGATGCCAATCAGTGAATGGAGGGAAGAGTCCAGAATCCAGGCCTCTGGGAGGCTCTGCCTCTTTCTATGCCTTTGTAAGCTGGCATCTAGTCTAGACCCTCACTCATTCATTCATTCCACCAACAGGACTGTTGGTTACTAAGCATGTGCCAGGCACTGGAATTCAGCTGTTAGTGTGGCAAACCCTGCCCACAGTAAACTTACCTTCTAAATGAAAGTGAAAGGCAATAAACAGAAACAAAAAACAAAGAGCCCAAATAAGGACCAAGCACCACAGAGTGCTTAAGACAGAGGGTTACAGGAGACCAACTTTAGAGAGCTGAGTCAGGAAGGCCTCTCAGAGGGGATAATGTCCATACTGATAATGGTGGAGAAGAGGCTGGTCATGCAAAGAAGGAGCACAGGGGCAGGTGGAGAGGCACAGGCCAGAAGAGCACCAGGTACATTCTAAGACCTGAGGGAAGCCCAGCAAGCAAGGGGAAAGTGGGGGTGAGTGGAGTATGGGGGCACAGAAGGCCCTTCTGAGCTTGGGCCGTCCATGGCTCCATGGCTCCCCACAAAGCCTGGGGTCTGGAGAGCACCATTCTTTCAGCACCTCTCAAGGACCATATTTTGGCCATCCTGTAGATTTCCCTCAACCAAGAAGCCCTGCAGCATAAACACATAAAACAGGGCACTCTTCAATGGCTTCATTTACTACACACAGCCCCCCAGGGTGGCTACTCTGGGCAAGCTCTCACATTGCTCCTGCCTGGCTGTTCAAAGAAGCAGACATGGAAACCAACAATTAAAGATAAAGAAGGCAAAAGACATTCCACATAAAGAGGCCAAAAGGGGTGCCTGGCTGGCTCAGTAGGTAGAACATGCAACTCTTGATCTCAGGGCTGTAAATTTAAGCACTACATGGGGTGTAGAGATTAATTTTTAAAAAATTTTATGGGTGCCTGGGTGGCTCAGTAAGTGTCTGCCTTCGGCTCAGGCATGATCACAGGGTCCTGGGATTGAGCCCCATGTCAGGCTCTCTCCTACAGGGCAGTCTGCTTCTCTCTCTCCTTATGCCACTCCCCCTACTTGTGCTCTCTCACTCATTCTCTAATTAAAAAAAAAACTTAGGGAAAAAAAAAGAGGGTATGACCCTTTAAGCAGGACTAAGGGGAAGATAGAGAAATGGGTCACTCAGACCCCTTGGCATCATCAACCACCGCTCCATCCTGCAGCTCTCCTGAAGGGAGACCTGCTCCTGGCACTAACCCAGAGGAGGAATTTATCAGGGAGAACCAACCACATCCTCCACTTACAGAGAACAACCTTGACTTCTTAGTGCTTCACTTTCACCCCAGAAAGAAAGGCAACAAATGAGGAAAATTCAGAATCTTGCTGTAAAATGGACTCATAATCCATCTGAAGCTTCTGACTCCTTCTCCTGCACATGAATGTTGTCACCCCTAAAAGTAAGTCACAGGCCAAACCACCAGCTAAAGACTCCTAGTTAAAGGGCAGCCCGGGTGGCGCAGTAGTTTAGGGCCGCCTGCAGCCCAGGGCGTGGTCCTGGAAGCCCGGGATCAAATCCCGTCAGGCTCCCTACCTGGGACCCGCTTCTCCCTCTTCCTGTGTCTCTGCCTCTCTCTCTCTCTCTCTCTCTCTCTCTCTGAATAAATAAATAAATCTTTAAAAAAAAATAAAGACTCCTAGTTAAAGACGCATACTGAACACACATGGTTACCTCCCAAACTACACTCCAGTAACTGTGAAGGGATAAAAAGCTACAGGGGATAGGAGAGGAAGCCCCAGTAGACAAGAAATGTGTCCACCAAATGTCAGATGGCAGCAAGATGATGAAGCAGCAGAAACAGAACTGCGCTCTCCACTCAGCTAAGGGCAGGGGAGGAGGCAGGCGAGGAGCCAAGCACTGGGACTCCATAAACAATGGTGGCCTAGTTCAGGAATCGAGGGCCTTAGACCTCTGGGGAGCTGGGGAAGCAAGGACAAAAAGCAGGAGGGCTAGCGAAAACTGACGTAATGAGCATGAGGGCCCAGGCCCCTTCCAGTTAGGAGCAACCTGGACCCTTCTCTCATAAAGCTTCTCTGAGAACACTAAGATGTGGTGAAAGCAAGGGAGGATTTATAAGCCTATCTTCCTCCTTCTCAGAATTCAAGGGAATCCTACTGAACCTAGAGAAACAAAGCACGTACACTCTTCCTGAAAAGAGAATGGGTGTTCCCTTCTGTGGGGTTCCCCAGAGTCTGCAACCAAGCAGCAGCAGCCCTAGGCCTCACAGCAAGTGGATGTCTGTGTGTGCATGAAGACATGAGTGAGTGGCCTCTAGCTCTGTGATCCATCCATCTCCTGAGGGCCCAGGGAGTATCTGGTCCTCTGAAAGATGTATAAGTCATGGTTCCTGCTTTCAGGAAGTTCAGAGGGAAGATAAGTGAGAAAAACCCATGATCCCAATCCAGTGAGATCTGTACTTTGGCCATTGGCACAGATGTTATAGGAAAACAAAAGGGGTGCCCAGAGGAGTGGGAGTTGATGGAAAGAGAAACTTTATCAGTGGTATCAGCTGGAGGTTTGGAGGTTTGCTTGTTGTCACAAGTGAGAAAAAGTGTGCACGGTACCTGGACGGCAAGAACTTCATCAGAAGCTCCTGGAAGTCTACCTTCTCTTCTTTCTTGCACTTAGTGTTCCGGACACGGGCAGACCGTCGCTTCGCTGTCTCTCCACTCTCTTCCGCAATCTTCTTCCGCTTTACTCCTTTCTTGGATTTATCTCCCCCAGAAACATCACCTTCACAAAGAGTACAAACTGAAATCTTACAAGGGACAGGGGTAAGAAAATGCACCACACAGGCACATCAGTGCCCCTAATTTTCTAACTCTATCAGTGTGTTTTATCTTTATCTCTGACACTCAAGAAACCTCCCATCTTTTAACTCCTAAGTTCATTTCAAAGTCAAAACACGTAACTCACACTTTGTTCGAACACAAAATGCACGAGCCTGATCTGAAGATTATGCTCCACAGCTATAGCACAGGAGGGTCTCAAACATTCCCGGCCCCCACCCTTCCCACTGGCTGGCTGGGAGAGCCCCTGGCACCTCCGTGCATTTACTTGGGACAGGACAGAGCATGTGGTGGCGACACGGACTCTACCCACCACACAGGACCTTCTGAGTGCCCAATAACGGGACATGAAAGTATAGAGACAGCAAAGGAGTGCATGTATGATTAAGCAAAAAAAGTTAGAACCACCACATACATGTTCATTCAGAAGTTTAACTGCCAGATATCCTTTCCTTCTGGGACACAGAAATCAAGAAAAGGCTTGGGAACTTTTGTCTGAAATCTTTTTTTTTTTTTTAAGATTTTATTTATTTATTCATGAGAAACACAGGAGACAGAGAAAGGCAGAGACACAGAGGGAGAAGCAGGCTCCATACAGGGAGCCTGACGTGGGACTCGATCCCTGGTCTCCAGGATCACGCCCTGGGCTGAAGGTGGAGCTAAATTGCTGAGCCACCCGGGCTGCCCTGTCTGAAATCTTTTTACAACTTCATTGAAAATAAAAATCAATAAAACCATTAAAAAATATACTACCACATACAGTGGTAACTTTGCTGACTTTTTAAGGTCAAAAAACTCCATGTCTGTTCAAGGCAGGGCCTGGGGCTATGGCACATGGCCAGCAGCAGAGCAGAACCAGCAGAGGGCCCCGCTGCCCCATGTGTCACAAGCGAGAAGAACAACCCTTAAACCAGGACTGACCACCCAGGACTTTAGCAATCCCAAGAAGCTGCATTCCTGAGCTCTGACCCCTTCCCTCGACCCCTTCCCTCGGGGTGCCTCACCACTGAGGCGGCCCCTGACCAGCCACAGCCTATGAGTTGGCTAGGCCTCCCCACCTGCAGGGCTGAGGTGCTCCCACTTAACCTCGGGCCAAAAGCATCAGCGAGACCCATCCCTCTGGAGAGGCCAGGGACCCCAAAACTCACCCCAGTCCAGCAAATGGGGCCTCCCCAAAAGCTGACCCCAGGAGGCATCCTCACCTGCAGGGACGCCAGTCTCCAGCAGGCTGGGACTGTGCAGAGGGAAACTGGCTGCAGCCACAGGGGCAAAGGAGAGCACAGGTTCTGCAACTGCCACAGCCGGGTTGGCAGTGACAGGGCTTGGCTGGATCACGCTGACAGGTGCCACCACCACAGAAGACACCAGAGGCTGGCTGGGGTCCTGGTAGTCGGAGAGGTCAATCCTCTTGCCAAGGCTGGGCCGCAAGGGCTCACAGGTGGTGAGGTGGTTGTACATGGCCAGCAAACTCTCTCCAAGGCACTTCCAGCTGCAAGGAGAGGGTAATTGCCCCTGGTCTGCACCCAGCATTGGGCGCTCCAACCATAGGGCCAGCAGGCCTGTGGAGAGGCAGTAGACCGAGCCCCGCGGCTGCCATCTCCATGATAGCAGGCGGGAGAGCTCATGATTTTGGCATCGTTGTTGGGGACAAACTCCTCAGTCTAACACCACTGAGGTGGAGCAGACAAAGTGGCAGCTGGACCCAGCATCTTCCTCCCCTCACCCGGCCACCCCAGTGTCAGGCACCTTCAGACTCCACCAGGAAGGCATGAGAACCACTGACTCACTTCAAAAGCTCCTTCCCAGGGCAGCCCTGGTGGCTCAGTGGTTTAGTGCCGGCTTCAGCCCCAGGGCGTGATCCTGGAGACCAGGGAACGAGTCCCACATCGGGCTCCTTGCATGGAGCCTGCTTCTCCCTCTGCCTGTGTCTCTGCCTCTCTCTCTCTCTCTGTGTGTGTCTCTCAAGAATAAATAAATAAAATTAAAAAAAAAAAAAAAGCCCCTTCCCTACAAAGCCCAATTTTTAAATCACCTACAGCATCTCTCTGAGGCCACTAATCCTCCTTTTTGGCAGGTGAGGTAGGGGAGAGGGCCGGGCTGGGATGTGAGCTAAAGGAGCTGAATGGTCTAAAGGGTCCCTGGGTGGCTCAGTCAGTGAAGCATCTGCCTTTGGCTCAGGTCACAATCCCTGGGATGTGTCCTGGGATGGAGCTCTGCCTTGGACGCCCTGCTCAGCAAGGAGTCTGTTTCTCCTTCTCCTGCACCCCCTGCTTGTGTGTTCTCTCTCTCTCTGTTAAACAAATAAATATTTAAAAATTAAAAAAATAATAAAGGGGCTGAATGGGCCCTTAGGCAGAGCCTCTTGGGAACAACATCTCAGTGATAATGGGGTCATATCAGTGAGTCCCCACACACCAAGACCACTGAGTGTTTTATCATGTGCTATGTCGTATGCCATGATATGTTGTGTCACATGTGCATTTTATTGTGGTGTAGTGTGTTATGTTGTAGAATGTCTCGTTTCATGTTTTATCTCATGTTATATGTTGTACTATGGTATGATACGGCGTGGCATGATAGATCCATCCACCCCTCTCTCAATGGCTTCCCAAGCTCTCAGGCTAAAAACTACACCCTCAGCTACATGGTGCTGCATGGCCTGACCCAGTCAACTGACCCAGCCTCATCTCACATTACCCCCGCCAACCTCTACACTCCCACCATGCTAGCTTTCTTTCAGTTCTGCCAAACAAAATCATACTCCTGAATACCACAGGACCTTTGCATAAGCTTCTGACCAAAAAAAAGGCCTTCACCCACATCCCAGCCTCTCTGGTCAATGCCACTCCTCTGTCAGACTCTAGCTCCACCACCTAAGCCTTCCCTGACCCCTAAAGCAATGCAGACCCCATTATGAGCTCCCCCAAGGTGCTGTGCTCCTCTCATCAAAGGGCTCAGCTGTTTAGAGCATATGCCTTTTTTCCTGGGTGACTGACTGACTACCCCTCAGATCACCGCAGAGAAGAACTGGGCCCACCATGCTGAATCCCCAGCATAGGGCACAGTGCCTGGCATAGAGACAGCATCCAGTAAGTACTGCAGACTGAATGGAAATGAAGGTGCTCTAAAACCCAGAATCTAACCAAATGGAGGCTCCTGGGACTGGAAAGGATGATCTCTTACCTATTCTTTCCCTGTCTTCAGTAAGGGCTACATGCACACGAGGAAGAATTTGCTCACAGCTGGGTTATGTCTAATGCCTTAAGTAACCAATTTCATTTATTCATTCCTTTTCTAGTGGGCACAGAATAGACCAAGGGTGGCAAACCATGACCAACAGCCTGTTTTGTACAGCCCATAATCTAAGAGCCAGCTAAAGGGTTGTTACACACACACACACACACACACACACACACCCCGAGGAGAATATACAACTGAGGAGAATACACAACTGAGATGGTTCCTGGCCCACAAAGCCTAAAGCTTTTACCATCTGGTCCTTTGCAAGAGAAGTGTGCTGAGCCCTACGATAGACTATGGTTATTTTAAAAGCCCCACCTTTTCCGTCTCAGAGAGAGACTCTCTGCACTCTTCCTCCAGTAACCCAATCAATCCCAGACTTCACTCCCAAGCAATGCTTCCTCCAGCTGAGCCCATCTCCCTCATGCTTCCATTTGGCCTTCACCCTGCATGAGGACTTGATGGCTTCTCTAGTCACATAACCAGGATCCTCTCCAGCCCTCTCCAGTGTTCTCAGGCCTTCCCCTCCTTCCCTGTAACAAGGAGGCACTCGGGGCCCTTCCCAAACTCACAAACGTCTCATCTAGGGAGCCCAGGGCTCCTGACCCAGCTGACTGCTCTGAACCCAGTTTCCTGTCCAGCACTCAGCAAATATTAGTCTCCTTTCCCTCACTGGGAAGGGCAGACTGAGAGGGGGCTTGGAGGGATGTGGCAGGTGGATGGCATCAAGAATGCCAAGAGCAAAGAGAGACTTCGATTGGGTGTACTTGGGAGACACCTGGCCTGCTTCTTTGCAGTCAACAAGTGCACACCCGTAGGTGTCTGTCCAACATGCATCCAGCTCCCACTCACACCATCAGCCCAGGGTCAGGCCTCAGGGTCTCTCCCTCCTAGCAAGGCCTACCGGCTGAGCCAGCAACCCCAGAGACCTAGACAACCTACGTGAAGAAGGGGATGGGCTGCACCAGCTTGAGGTCTGGCTCCTTCTCTCGCACAGTCAGCGCTTGCCTCTTCTTCCGCAGCCCCAGGGCCTCCTCTACAATAGCCCGGGTCTCAGCTGCACTCACCGACACATCGTGGATTGACATGTCACTAAAAGCGTGTAGGACAGAGAGAAATTACATTGTTACAAACTAGGGCCAAGGCTGAAAGTTTACAGACAGGGATGCAGTTAAGTTAATACCCTTTAATCTGTATTAATTCTTCCTACAAATAAAATAACCCCTTGAGTCTGGCCTCTAAGGGCAGTAATTAGCATTCTTAATACCCATATACAATAGAAGTGACTAATATCCTTTGTTCCCTCTACAATTCAAAACTGAGCAAACGTTTTTCATATGTATTAACAAGATCACAGTAATGTCAGAAAGCCGCAGAAAAAATAAAACCTTGCTCTCAATTATTTACAGAGAACTTTTAAAAAATACAACTTCCGCATCCTGCCCAGCCCAAAAAGTCATCAGACTACCTAGGCTCACCAAAGTCCCTGCTGTAGCCAAACTACAGAAAGGATAGGGGCTTTGAGGCCTCAGGTGCCCTCTGAGGCCTCGGGTGCCCTCACACAGAAACACATCCACCTGAGGTGGCCCAGCAATACCTGCCCTCCTTCCCCAGGCTGTGCTGATGCCTCTGAGCAGGGTCTACCACAAAGCCACAAGGTTACAGATTTATTTTTCCATCTAATCTCTCTCTCTTAAGATAGTACCATCAGGACAGATCTGAACAAGAAATACAGTCTTACGAGGGATAGACATGAAGATAAATAACCACTAACTCCTCACCAGCTGAGTTCCAGGGGCCAAGGACCAGGGGATAGAAGAGTTGGTTCATTTGGAAGGTGGAGGGAGGGAGACAGAGTTTGGAAAGCTGCCCAGAGGTGACCTGGGAGCTGGAATATGAAGAAGGAGCAATGGCACAAGAGGTAGAGAGGTGGGAAGATAGCCTTCCAGTGTTCTCAGGCCTTCCAGGGCGAAGGGATAGGACAGTACACAATGAGGCCAAGTCTGGAATTTGTCAAGGACCTAGGGCAGTCTTCTCCTGGGGGAGGGAGACATAGGAGCAAGGAGAAGAACTAAGGGGGACAGATTATAAAGGATCTTCTAGGTGACGCTTTGAACATAAGCTTTGTCCTAGAGGCAAGGCAGGGGTGTCAAGGTCATATCTGGGACACTGAACTTGGGAAGCATGGGAGCAAAGCCCTGAAAAGGGAAATGGTGGGTGGCGAGGAGACAAGGTAGACAGTAGGCTACCACAAACACCCAGAGGAGAGCTGGTAAATGCCAAGAACTGGCAGGGCAGTGAGAAAGGTGGGCAACAGAGAGCCAAGGAGGCACCGCCATGATGAGGCACACAGGTGAGTAATAGGCAAAACCAGGTGAGGGGTACAGTGGGGGATGAAGTACTGGGGCCCAACTGCCAGAAGATCAGGACCTGAGGGAAGGAGGTGCACATGCCTCCTGATATCCACCAAGCACACACTGCTGTGGGAGAGAGGCAATGCAGAACCAGCACAGGAAGTAGGACCCACCATTTAAGAAACATTCGGAGGGAGTCCTTCCGGAGACAAGGCTGTTCTTCAAAGATCTTTTCCTTGAGAACCAGTCCTTTGCTGTACCGGCAGTCCTTCTCTAAAGCTTTGCAGATGAAATACAGACATGCTGGCAAGGAAAGAAACAATATTTCTGAGTGTGCACCCCAAACCTCTGGCCTTACCAGGTAACACCAAGAAAACATCCCTACTATGAAATCAAAGATATGATGGCAAACAATAACAAGATACCACTTACTTGATTCGATCAGGAAAGATCCTGCCAATAGTACTACCCACAGCAGATGAAGCAAACCCAAATGCTGCTGGGCGAGGACAGACTGTATGACCTTTCTGGAGAGCCACAGGCATTACGCACAGACAGACTCTTGGCCCAACAACCCACTTCTAGGAATTGCTGCAAAAATCTTCAGGCTCACAGTGATTAGCTATTGGCTAACTGGAAAAGAGCCTTCAAAAAATCAGAAAAGCACTCAGTGTCCCACCAAGGGAGCCAGGTTAAGGAAAGCTTCCCAGTCCACACACTGGGTTGCTGAGGAGCCACTGCATAAATGGTTCAGAGGTGTGCTCACTGACCAAAAGGAAGGCCACAAGATGGCATAGGGAAAAGACAAGAAACCAAATAGGCCACATAGTGTTACTCCATTTGTACACATAAAACCGGTTTCTGCTCCTTTTGCTTATTTGCATTTTCTAATTTTCCTCCTCCTCTTTTTCTTTTTCATAAACTGTTCTTACCAGAAAAAATTATTGCCTACAATTAAAGACATGTACATCATTTACGTCAACGAGCCTTTTCAAATCAATGATCTGGAAAACCTATGCCTTCTCCAGGAATTCTAGGAGTGTAGACAGTAATAGGCAAAGCAACACAGAAAAAAAAAAATGGGATAGCAAGGAGTCACGAAGCAGAGCTGCAATGTGAATTAGGAAAGCCTTTGGCATTTATAAATGGGAACAGCCTCTGATAGACATAACTGCTATAAGTCCCCAGCAGGCCCGGTGCCACCAGGACTAACCTATAAGCACACAGGGAAACAATACAGTAGAGCCAAGCATCAGCTCTGCTCTGACTGGGCACTGGGAACACTAGTGTGTCCTGCTCAGCTTCACAGTCTAAGTGTAGACAGACTGCAGCTACTTTTATCAAGAATAACCAGACAGGGAATCTGGGTGGCTCAGTGGTTGGGCGTCTGCCTTTGGCTCGGGGCATGATCCTGGGGTCCCCGGATCAAGTCTTGCATCGGGCTCCCTGCAGAGATCCTGCTTCTCCCTCTACCTGTGTCTCTGCCTCTCTCTCTCTCTCTTTCTATGTCTATCATGAATAAATGAATAAAATCTTAAAAAAAAAATCTTTAAAAAAAAAAAAAAAGAATAACCAAAGGAGCCAGGGGTGAGGAGGAAGGAAAAGTAGAGATGTAGGCATGGAGGCCTTGAGAGACAAAAAGAAATGGTGTCCTAAAGTACCATGGAAGGAGAGAGCAGAGCCTGGTCCCAAAGCTCCACAGGTACCAACACTGCCCCCCGCAAGGCACACGAAGGCTATTCAACCTGTGAACAGAAAGGAACTGGGTGCTCCCAGCACAGCCCAGCAAGCTGCTGACTGAACATCTGCATAGATGGCCCAGAGTTCCTGCTCCACACAAACAAGAACACAGTTTCTCTGGTACCACAGTGGGACATGAGAGTGGCCATCAGAGACACCCAGAGAAAAAACCAGGAGGCCTTGAGCATTTGATGATGCTGGCTCTCAGCAAGTGTTTTGGCTGCAGTAAAGCTCACCACACTAGCTGTACTATACCAGCACTCCAACAGAAGGAAGGCCTCAGAAGTCCCAAGCACCCTGCCTACTCATCTCAAGTGGATAAATGCCACTGGGAGTCAATTTAGCATGCTGCTTTTACTTTGGAGTCTTGTTTTGTTTTTTTAAGATTTAATTTATTTATTCATGAGAGACACAGAGAGAAAGGTAGAGACATGGGCAGAGGGCAAAGCAGGCTCCCCGTGGGGCCAAATGTGGGACTGGATCCCAGAACTCCGGGATCACACCCTGAGCCGAAGGCAGACCCTCAACCACTGAACCACCTAGGCATCCCTACTTTGGAGTATAAATGAATGTCAGGTCTGGGGTGCCTATGTGGCTGTCATTAAGTGTCTGATTCTTGATTTTAGCTCAGGTCTTGATCTCAGTTGTGAGTTCAAGCCTCAAGTTGGGCTCCACACTGGGTGTGAGTCTAGTTAAACATACACACACACACACACACACACACACACACACACACGTACTGAAATCAATAAATGAGTGTCACGGGGCACCTAGGTGACTCAGTCAGTCAGTTAAATGTCTGCCTTCGGCTCAGGGGATAATCCCAGGGTCCTGGGATCAAGCCCTACGTTCAGCTCTCTGCTCACTAGGGAGCCTGCTCTCTCTGCTTATGTCATTCTCTCTCTCTCTCTCTATTAAATTTAAAAATAAATAAATAAATAAATAAATAAATAAATAAATAAATAAATAAGTAAGTAAGTAAGTAAGTAAGTAAGTAAGTGTCAGGGTTCTCCCAGATAGAGCAGCGTTCAGTCCCTCAGGCCTGTTTTCCCCCAAGGACTTAAGTTTACCAAGTACAACTTCTATCATGGGAGAGGGGTGCAAATAACTAAACCAGGTAGCTGGGGAAAGGAAGGCAGGACATAAGATTCTCCAACTCAAGTGGCACCCAAGCTGTCGGAAAAGTTCCCCAAGAAGAGTCTAAACACCACTCGGGAGGAAAAGCTGTGGGAGTCCAAAGGGCACCTCACAAGCACTATCACATTTCTGCTGGTGAGTGTGAAAACTGGGGTAATCACTCCAGAACAAGTGCTATGTCCAGTGGAGGACATACACAAGAACATTCACAGCAGTGTTATGCAAGAACTCAACTCTGGAAATAACCCAATCTGCAAGCACAGAATGGTCAAATTGTGTAGACACACATAACAGACAACACAGAATAAAGAGATCCCAGGGATTGCCTGGGTGCATTCACGGACAGGAAAACCACAGCTGAGGGAGCCAGGCTGAGAAGAGTATACATCGCCAACTGATGCCACCTAGAGGAGCCTCAACAAGAAGCAGAGCTCATCTCTGGTGACAAAAGGGAGAAATCAAGATCACCTCCAGGGTGGTAATAACCAGAATGGGACCCAAAGCAGAGTGCCTTCTGGGGCTCTAGAAATGTTCTGCAACTTCACACATTTCACATATAAATATTGTGCACTTTGTGTGTGTGTGTGTGTGTGTGTGTGTGTGTGTGTGTGTTACCTCAGTTAATGAGATTTAAAAAGTAGTTGTGGAGAACTGGAGGTGGGGAAGGGTGAGCAGGGCATAGTGTCTCTCAAAATGCTTCGCACTATTTGTCTTTATAAAAGGGAAGGAGAGACTCCTGGGTGCTCAGCGGCTGAGCATCTGCCTTCAGCCCAGGGCATGATCCTGGAGTCCCAGGATCAAGTCCCACATCAGGCTCCCTGCATGGAGCCTGTTTCTCCTCCCTCTGCCTGTGTCTCTGCCTCTCTCTGTGTCTCTCATGAATAAATAAATAAAATCTTTAAACAAACAAATAAATAATAAAAAAAGGGAGGAAAAAGTCTTCGCCAGTCTTCCAGGCCTAAACCTTGAAAGCGATATCAAGTGCTCACTGGTATGTCTGTCCTAAAAAGAGTAATGCAGCCCAAGCAGGTATGGAGCACCTTCACACACCAGACCAGCCTGCAGCATAGAGTCAGCTCACAGAGCCCTGGGCTCCCACTGCGCTCAGCACTGCTCCAAGTACTCCTGAAAAGCCTCCTTCTACCCTAGCCTCAGAGGACACCCAGAAGAGGCTGACTCCCAGAACACCTCATCAGTGCCTGCCTCAGGACCAGCCCATGCAAGGAACAAAGGTGTTCTCTGCAGAGCAGACCGCAAGGCTGGTGCTTAAGCAATTGGAGGGCAGATAGGGCTCCATCTAGCAGAAGTAGCCCTGCTGCTCTACAAAGGAACGGACTGCCTTAAGAGGTAGTGAGGTTTCCAGGGACGCTTGGGTGGCTCAGCGATTGAGTGTCTGCCTTTGGCTCAGGGCGTGATCCCGGGATCCAGGATCAAGTCCCACATCGGGCTCCTTGTGGGGAGCCTGCTTCTCCTTCTGCCTATGTCTCTGCCTCTCTCTCTCTGTGCCTCTCATAAATAAATAAAATCCTTTAAAAAAAAAAAAAAAAAGAGGTAGTGAGGTTCCCAACACCAGGAGTCAAGCTGAAGCTGCTAGGTCATCTGTCAGCGAGTTATAGAAATTGGCTGGCACAGAATAGGACAGCGCAGGGAGAAAATGAGATAAGCAAAGGGAAAAACCACTCAGAGAACATGCTACCTATCACTATAATGCAGTCAAGAAATCTCAATTGAGTGAGAAAGACACATGCAATAAAGCAGAAATGCAAAGTCATCTCCCTTCCCAACAGTTGGGCAGAAAGCCCTTCAGTGTTAACCTGGTCTTCAACTTACCCAAGATGCCCTCCCTCCTCTGTCCCCAAAACACAGCACATGGGAGAGAACCATCAAACCTGACTCACTTGTGTAATCGCTGAGGGTGTACAAGACAGTGATGAGGTTGTCCAAGCAGGGCCAGTGGTCAGGATTGCACCGCAGGCCTTCCTCAAAAGCATGGCGAGCCAGGGGGACCCGGATGAGCCTCAGGGCAACATGTCCAATTTTGTACCAGAGGTTGACATCTGTGGAGTCCAGCATTACTGCCTGGAAGCAGCACAGAGGACACAAGAGCTCAGTCAGCTGGCTCTCTTGCTGAGCCAGCATCCATGGTAAAAGGGCAAAGCATCAACCCAGCCACTCAAACCACCCAGAAAAATGGCAAACATAAGTTACATGAACCAATTTATCAAATTCAGAACATCTTTTTGACATAATTTATTATTCTGAACATCTGTATTCCTTACCTATTTGATAGATAAAGGAAGTGAAAGTACCATTAAAAGAAAATGGAATTTGTGGAATATTTTTGTGGTATTTAAATTTTTTATTTAATTTTAAATTGTGGGATTCTAGAAAGATTATGGGATCTGGAGACAGACCTCAGTTCACATCCCTGCTCCTACACTGACTGGCAGTGAGATCCTGAGCCTCGGTCCCCTCATCACTAAAATGAATATAAAGACACCTTTTCTGCAAGATGACATATGGTTAGTGCATGTGTGGAAAGCAGTTTGCGTGGTGTCTGGCACCTCAGAGGTACCCAGAGAGACAGTGTGGGTAGCACAGAGATCATGGCAATACTGTTATGAGCAGGTACAGGGCCAGGGTCAGGCTGTGTTCTCAGTAGTTGTATACGTACCAATTCATTTCATTTTTCACAACCGCCGTCTTTCTTACTATGCCCACTACACTGGTGTAGACCTGGACCAGGAGCGAGTAAGCAACTCACCATGGCCACACATGCCCTGAGTGGCAAAGGACCAAGGCACATGCAGGCCCCTGCTCTCTTTGAACTCATTGTTGTCAGCTGATAAGGGTCTCAGGAACCACAGCTTGGTGATGTGCCACTACAAATTTTTTTTTTTTTTTTTAAGCCAACAAGACCACAATCTCACCCCTCCACCAAAAGCTTTCAAAAACCCAAGGAGCTAAGCATTGCCAAAATTGCACCTCCAAGTAGAATTCCATAGCTGTCTCCAGGTCTTCTCGCTGGGCTGCCAGCTGGGCCAAGTTCTTATATGTGGAATATTTCAACATCAGCCCAGGATGTTTCAACCCTTCTTTCTCATCACCAGATGAAACTGCCTGTGAACAAAAACAGAGTTCAAGAGTGAATGACACCTAGGCTCTGAAGCCTTGGCAGGCAATGAGCAGGACAAATGGCTTCCTGGCTGGCCTCTACTGCAGGCCCTTGGCCCAGTCTGGTGCCACTCTCCATTAGAAAATGAAAGCACTATACTAGATGTTTTTGGAGGACCCCTCCAGCTCCAAGCAGACAGAAAAGGAAAGCTAGACCACCACAAAGTAGTTTACAGATAGTCTGGGCACCAAAAGAGACAGAGGGACCCCTCCTCATTGGTAAGGCCATGCCTGAAAGGTCAAGCCTGGAGCCCTCAGCTCCCCCAAAGCAGGGCTGAAGAGGGAGGACAGGGCATGAGAAGGCCACCTGGGGACAGTGGCAGGGTCTAGAGGTACCTAGACAGCCAATTTATACATCTCTACACATTCTGTACCAGGAAGAGCACCGAATTAGGAGTCAGGAGGCTGAGCTCCCAACTCTGTTGTAACTCATATGACTGTAAACAAGTTACTTTAACTAAAAAGTTAGTGCCCCAAGGACCTCTGCATTATAAGGGCAGTAAATCCTACCTAAGTATCAAAAGTACAAGTGAGCCAAAAGAGCATAAAGATTATAAATATGTTTTCTATTAAAAGTTATTTCACTACAGCTTTTATGAAACCTCTTAGAAAACCCTACCACTTCTAAGACGCCACTGATGAGGAAAACTACTGCTCTAATCACAGGACAAAGTAAAACATTTTCTTCTTTTCTTTTTTAAAGACTTTATTTATTTATTCATTAAAGACACGGGGGGGTGGGCAGAGACTTAGGTACAGTGAGAAGCAGGACTCCAGGTCCACACCCTGAGCTGAAGGCAGGCGCTTAACCACTGAGTCACCCAGGTGTCCCAGTAAAATATTTTCTAACAGAAAAGCTCGGTGGCACAAAGAAATTCTTTCCAGGGATCCCTGGGTGGCGCAGCGGTTTAGCGCCTGCCTTTGGCCCAGGGCGCGATCCTGGAGACCCGGGATCGAATCCCACGTCGGGCTCCCGGTGCATGGAGCCTGCTTTTCCCTCTGCCTGTGTCTCTGCCTCTCTCCCTCTCTCTCTCTATCATAAATAAATAAAAATTTAAAAAAATTAAAATAAAAAAAAAATTCTTTCCAGGGGTAGGTCCATATCTCAGCCTTGTCCTGGGACAAGTCACATTCACATGTCATTCTTCATGGTCAGAACAAGTAAGACCTGCGGACATGCAACCTTCAGGAAGTACCCCTTGACTAATCCAAGAAATCTATCCTAGAACTCTTAAGGAATCCCAACAAGAAGACTAAAAAGCTCAAATCAAACTTCATTCATTATCTTCGCCTGTTGTCTGGCTTATACTGCAGAAATATCCCCAACAACAGGCTGATCAAGGCTGGATACTAGGTACCTTCACCTCTCCAGGTAAGAACTATTCAAAAACTGGTGTGAACTCTTTAATAGAGGCCATGTGAGTCTACCTCAGAGACTAGCCAGTGTGTATCCACACAAACAGCAGAAGCTCTCATAACTAACCTCCACCCAATCAGCTGTATTCAGCACCATTCCCCGTCCTCCTGACAGACACGCTGATGCCCATGGGAGATGACAGGCTCACCCCAACAAGCTTCCCCAATGAAGCTATCCACTTCTTAGAAGCCAGCTGTGTTCCAGGGCCTATTTATGCCAAGTGTTTGTGAGACTGCAACTACATAGTATAATTTAATATTACGTATACTGATGAGGATGAATGTGAAAAGAAACTTTTCTATACATTTTCTGTATGCTTCGACTGTTTACAATGACATTTTACTTTTATAAGCCAAGGAGGGAGTACTACAGCAGTCTTCCAAGACTAAAAGTGATACAGAGAGAGGTAGACACACCTAGGACTACAAGGCTGACGCCTGACCATCACTCTTCTGACTTGGTGCTCTGCTCAGCCACTCACACCTCTGAGGCCCACTCCACCATGGGCTGAGGGAAGATCTCCCTCCTAAAACATACGCAGCCCCTGGCCTGTGGCTGGAGCTCAGTAAAGTAGAAAAAAGTCTTTTTCATCTCTGGGCCCTCATTCACTTCCTACTAACAGGGGAGGGGCAGGTCACAATTCCCACAGCCCTCATTCCAAGACACTATAACCAGCACCAGAGAAACTTGACATCCAATTAGGAACACGAACACGAGTGAGAGAAGGGATGGACTCCTCACATAGACAGTGAGAACTAAGTTAAGTTAGCATTCTGCCTCATCTGTGGTGAAAACTATCCAGGGGTGGGGGCTTCAGACACAAGTGTCTGCCTTCCTAGAGGAGGACACTGCCCAACTGAAGGACCACATTCCAGAAAATGCCCATGGTTGGAGTCTGTCTGCTTCCTTATCGCATGTCTCTGTGTTTGGTGTCTGGGTACTTGAAAACAAAAGCCTTTCCTCCTAATGAAACATAATTCTTCCTAAATCAGTTTCAAGTTGAGACTCATTCTCAAACCGCCAGGCAACACACATCTCTATGAGCCAGCCAACTCAGGTTTAACTCACTTGCCACTTGCATGGCCCCCATGCTAGATCACTGAGTCCTGCCCTGCCTGCCCCTCCCCACCATAATCTGTGCCCTCAACATGGCTCTATGTTGCTCTCCCAGCCCCTTCCTCCAGCTATGTTTTTCAAAAGACCATGGAGCACCTACACAGGTTTCCTGAGCTCACGGGCTATCACCTAAACTGCATTTGCCAAAATGTGTTGCCAACAGGATCATTAAGTAACAGAAAACCATGGGTTCCAATCCTGGTTCTAATGCTTCACTAACTGGGTGGCTCTGAGCAATCAACACCTCACTAAGCCTCCATTTCCACAACTGTCAGATGGGGACAGTGACCCTCACCTTGTCATCAGAGTAGTTATAAAGAGAATGTAATTAAATACCCGACACAGAGCTCTTACTATGCACCAAGAACCACTCTATCCACTTCACTGGATTCATTCAACCCTCACAGTGACCCAATGAGGCTGACACTCTACAGGTGGGGACACTGAAGGGCAGAGAAGTAACATGTCCAAGGTCTCCCAGCCAAGAAGAAGGTCTCCCAGCCTGTAATACCTCACCTCTCGCAGCAGGCGTGCCTCCAGGAGCTCATGGTAGGCTTTGGCTGACTCCTCAAACCGGTCGTGTTTCTGGAGATCCAAGGCCTTGTGATATAAGGCAAAAGCCTCTGCTTCCTATGAACCAAGAGAGAATATTATAAAGGTTTGTCATTTTTTTAAGCCAAAAGTGTAATAGGAGCTATAGTTAAGGCCTGTAAAAGAAACAATCCTAAACATTCCAACCTCCCAGGAGCTCATCACTGGGAGAAGAACCCCTCGGAAGTCCCCCGACAAGACACGAGAAACACAGGCTCAACTAAGTCTAAGTAACAGCAAAAAACACACTGGTCCAGGGACACAGGGTCAGAGCAACAACAAGGTTATGAACCCACCTGGGCCCTTGCTGGGTAAAGCTGGGAGAGTGGCCAAACCAGCCAGAATAACCTGGATTCCTAGAGAATATGGATGGTTTCCATTGCTTTCTACCTGCCACTCTGCCCTAGCCTGATCATTGCCCAGGGAGAGTGACAACCTCCTCCAGGATGAAGGGGATACTGGGTAGGCTGAGCCCAACTGATATCCCCTTGAAGACCAGGGACAGCCGACAAGTCAGCTTTTGAGAGGGCTCCTGATTGCCTGGGTTTCTCCTGTGAAAGGGGATGTACATGTTTATTCCAGGGAAAACAAAGACAGAAACAAGAAGCAAACCACTTCTATACTAAGGCAGGAAAGGTGGAAAGATGGATGGAGGAAAGGAAAGCCAGGCTGAAATTGAAGTGGTGCCAGGCCTCATGGTAGAGAGGAAAGACCAAGAATCTAGGGAACTGAAGTTGAATCTGGCCCCCCACTGATCTCAGTGAGACCCCATCAAGGGCCTTCTCACACTTGAAAGCACCATCTACCACTACATTCTATAGTCCCTTAGGTATGCCAATCCCTGAAACATGCACAAATGGACTGCATAGAAAGCTAGCCCTAGCTGGAGAAGTGGGCCCAGGGCCTCAACCAGCTCAAATGCTGCTCAGAGAATATGGAATTTCTCTTCAGTGTGACCACCTCCAAGAGAAGCAGGTAAAACATGAGATGAAGAACTATCTTTCAAAATGGAATTTTTGGGCAGCCCCGGTGGTGCAGTGGTTTAGCCCAGGGTGTGATCCTGGAGAGCCGGGATCGAGTCCCATGTCAGGCTTCCTGCATGGAGCCTGCTTCTCCCTCTGCCTGTGTCTCTGTCCCTCTCTCTCTTTCTGAATAAATAAATAAAAATCTTTTTAAAAAATGGAATTTTTCCTGTGATATCGCAGTGAGTCCTATGAATACATTTAAAATAAGGTACCATCTAGAGAAGTGAAAAGCAGGGTCTACCTGCAGAAGAAGACCATGGATTACATACCTGGGCCTCTTTGGTCTGAGTTTTGTGACTTTTAAAGCTTCCTTCATGATCATCCTCAACTGTAGAGCTGGCATTTAAGGCTGCAATTCGAATCTAAAAACAGGGATTTGAGGGAAGAAAAAAATTGCTTTTGAGATATCACTTGTCTCTTTAACAATCTACAACGAATACAATTCTGCTCCAGTGCCTAACCTCTTATAGCTTGAACAGCTATGACCGTCTCAGAATGTAATGAGCAATAAATGATCATCAAGGAAAAAAATAAGGACCAGAATACGTCCAGGAGGACCATAACAAGCTACATGGGGAGCATGTCCTGGGTACTATCCATTGCAAAAGGAACACCCCAGCAATGCCAGAAACAATAGAAGACATTAGAGTAACAGATTTCAACAAAACATGTTAACTTTATACCTTTCTTTCAACTACGAAGAGGCCCTGCAAGCCACTCCAAAAGAAGGCCAAACATCCTTACCCTCAATTGCTCCAACAGCTCTCCCAGGAGGAAGGCTGCCCCATACCGAGTGTCACCCAGGAAAATGCCCCTTGTCCCCAGGAGAAAGGTACAAAAGAATACTAACAGCAAATATGCAAACACCAGTCCTTACCATACTCAGAGAGCTTCAACGCTGCCACTGTGCACCACTTCCCATCACTGGTGGGGGCTGTGCCAGTCCACAATCTCCTAGAGAGGAAACAGGAGAGACTGAGAGAGGGCTCAGGAAAAGACAGGAATACCATAGTTCCAGGGGGCCACCACAAAGCAGTCCCCAAATCCAGGGGCCTACCCAGCTCTAAGCACACAGGCTGGCAAGCAACAGCCTCAGATTGGTTGTGTTGAGATATATCACCCAGGTCCCATGGCCAGAGCCTCTGCCCTAGCCAGGCAAGACACCAGACACTGGGGACACAGTAGACTGAGACCAACTCCTGCTCTCAGGGCTCACTGCTCAGCAGAGGAAAGAGACCTATAAACAGGTTTTTTTCTTTTTCTTTTTTTTTCAATAATTTAATGAAATGAAGAGAAACCAAGGCAACATCTACGGGTGGAAAATAATTCACTCGAAGGGATCCTGGACAGTGAGGGAGGCAGCCTTGTGGTAAGCCCTGAGGAACAGACAACAGTAGGGGGTGGTGAAACAAAGGGGGGGGTGAGCTGTGGTGTGATGGGGAAATGTAGACACACTTGGGTGCCAACACAGCCCACAGCCAGGCCTTAGAACAGAGATGGATTTGGAGGATGGAAGAGTGCCATGCCAGGGAACTGGGAACTTCAACCTGCAGACAACAGGGGAGCCACTGAGAGTTTTGGGGAAAATAAAATTTTAGAAATATAAAGAAAAAATATTAGAGGTAGGCAGACCAGTTTGAAGTCTGCAAAAAAAAAAAGATAGGATTGGTGAGAATGTGTGGAAAAATTAGAATCTCATACATTACTGACAGGAAGCTAAAGTGTGCAGCTTCTGTGGAAACCGGTCTGGTAGTTGCTCCAAATGTTAAACATGGAGTTACCATATGACCCAGAAATTCCACTCCTAGGTATCTAGCCAAGAGAAATGAAAACATATGTCCATACCCAACCTGGTTCACGAATGATCATGGCACCACTATATATAACAGCTTCGAGGTAGAAACAACCCAAATGTCTGCCAAGTGATGAATGAATAAATAAAATAAATGGATAAATAAAATGTGGCATGTTGATACAATGGATTATTCTTCAATCATAAAGTACTGACACATGCTACAACATGGATGAACCTCGATGCTAAATGAAAGAAGCCAGTCTCAAAAGGCCACATATTGTCTGATTCTATTTATATGCAATGTCCAGAATAGTCAAATCTACAGAAACAGAAAGTAGATAGTGGACTGTGGGAAAGGGACAAATGGTGAATGGTGAATTACTACTACAGGGTTTCTTTCCAGGGTGATGATAATGTTCTAAAATTGGTTGTGGTAGTAATTCCACACCTCTGTGAATACAATGAAAACCACTGACTTACACACCCCACATAGGTGAACTATATGGTATTTGAATTACATGCTGTTACTAAACAAAGAGGTAACAGGAACCTGGATGGGGCAGTGGACACAAGGGACACACTACAGGGGGTAGACTCACAGGACTCTGCACCTAGGAGGCTAGAGGGAGCAGAGGGGTTCTAGATAACACCAAGGGTTTTGGCCTAAGGGGCCAGGACAGGGAGGGGGGGCACCCCTCAAACAAGCCAGGTAGTGCAGGAAGAGAAGTCAGAAAAAAATCCCATCAGAGAGGCCAGCAGAAGGCCCTGGAAGGGCCAGCAGCAGAGCTGGAGGGAGTGAGCCTGGGCCTACAGATGAATGCATGCTCCACCCAGATAACATGAATTGACTGCTACTATTGCCAACAGCACCGTAGCAATCATTTCTAGCATGGCTTCCACCATGGTCTGTGAGTTCTCTCAGGGTTCTTACAAGAAAGGAAGTAGTCTTTTCACAGACAAGGAAGACTCAAACCTCCCCTGGGCTAATAGCTATTTTATCTCCTATTCTACATTTAGGAAAAAAGAATGCTGCTCAGTCTGGAGCTATGCCATGATGGACACTTTGATCATCATACAATATGAAAAAGAGAGAGAGAAGTAGAAACCATACAATTAAAACTGCATCTAGGGACACCTGGATGGCTCAGTGGATGAGTGTCTGCCTTCAGCTCAGGGCATGATCCCCGGGTCCCGGGATTGAGTCCAGCATCAGGCTCCCCATGCCTGCTTCTCCTTCTGCCTAGGTCTCTGCTTCTCTCTGCGTGTCTCTCATGAATAAATACATAAAATCTTTTTAAAAAATTAACTAAATAAATAAAATCATGAGAAGATACTACTATACACCTATTAGAATGGCCACCTTTTTTTTTTTTTAATTTTTATTTATTTATGATAGTCACAGAGAGAGAGAGAGGCAGAGACACAGGCAGAGGGAGAAGCAGGCTCCATGCACCGGGAGCCCAATGTGGGATTCGATCCGGGGTCTCCAGGATCGCGCCCTGGGCCAAAGGCAGGTGCCAAACCGCTGCACCACCCAGGGATCCCAAATGGCCACCTTTTTAAAAAAACTGACAATGCCAAGTCCTGGTGAGGATACAGAGCAACTGAAATTCACAGTGCTGATAGGAATACAAAACAGTACCACCATGGTGGAAAATAGTTTCTTATAAAGTTAAGCACACATTTACCATATGATACAGCAATCTCATCCCAGCTATTTATCCTAGAGAAATGTTCATACAAAGCTTGTATGTAAAAGTTTAAAGGTGCTCCATTCAAATTACCAAAAATATTCTTCAACAGCTGAACAGATAAACTGTTGTGATATATCACAAGAGAATACTGCTCAGTAAGAATACTACTTACACAATAGAATAATACTGCCCCTTAAAAGGAACAAACAACTGATGCATGTAACAACTTGGATGAATCTCAAAGCCATTATGTTTTTTATTTAAGATTTTATTTATTTATTCATGAGAGATACAGAGAGAGAGAGAGAGAGAGAGAGAGAGAGAGAGAGAGAGGAGAGAGAGAGAGAGAGGTAGAGACACAGGCAGAAGGAGAAGCAGGCTCCATGCAGGGAGCCCAACGTGGGACTTGATCCTGGGTCTCCAGGATCACGCTCTGGACTGAAGGCAGCATTAAAACGCTGAGCCACCCGGGCTACCCTCAAAGCCATTATGTTGCGTGAAAGTTGACAGTCTTAGAGCACCTGGGTGGCTCAGCTGGCTTCAGCTCAGGTCATGATCCAGGGGCCTAGGATCCAGCCCTATATCCGGCTCCAATCTCAGCACTGAGTCTACCTGAGATTGCCTTTCTCCCTCTGCCCTTCCCCACCACTCACATGTGCGCATGCACTCTCTCTTAAAATTAAGATCTTTTTAAAAAAAAAAGAATATACACCAAATAATACAGCAACCAACTCTATGAAACAAAAAACATAGGAGATGCAAGGACACATAAATAAAAACACACTAATAAGAGACTTTCATTCACCACTGTCAGTGTAAGACAGGTCAAATAGAGAAAAAAATAAGGACACAGAAGATCCAAACAACAAAATGATTATAGAACTTACAGATGCATGCCACTCTATACTCTGCTAATAGAGACTACATATGCTCCAGCACCCATAGCATATTCACAAAACAAATGCAAATATTAAGTCACAGAGAAAACATCTTCTATAAATATGTGTTAAAAAACCTCTGATCACAATACATTAAAACTACAATTTACTAACACTACCACCACCACCAACGACAGAAGACAGATCCTTCTATTTAAAAATTTAAGCACCGGGGATCCCTGGGTGGCGCAGCGGTTTGGCGCCTGCCTTTGGCCCAGGGCGCGATCCTGGAGACCCAGGATCGAGTCCCATGTCGGGCTCCCGGTGCACGGAGCCTGCTTCTCCCTCTGCCTGTGTCTCTGCCTCTCTCTCCCTCTCTGTGTGACTATCATAAATAAATAAAAAATTTAAAAAAATAAAAATAAAAAAAAAAATAAAAATTTAAGCACCTCCTATTAAACAACTGGGTGAAAGGGAATGCAGCTAAAATTGGAGAAAAATGTAAAGAAATACTAACAATGAAAACATAAGCACTTGTATGTGTGAAAACACAACAAAAATCACCAGGTGGGGGGGCACTGTAGGATTATCTCCATAGAAGAAAAAGCCTTTGACAAAATTTAACACTCCCTTGTGATAAAAAGCACTCAAGAAAATAGGAATTAAATAATCCTTTCTTACATACCTAAGTCCTAAAACCAAAATCTTATTTAATAAAGAAACACTAGAGGCATTTCTATTAATATCAGGAACAAAGCAAGGATGCTCATTATGTCTGTTACTATCCACCACTGTACTTATTTGCGTTATTAGCAATGCCAATAGAAAAGGGAAACCAATTAGAGGTATAAGAATGAGTAAAGAAGTAAAACAATCATTAATTTCAGACAATATAACAGAATATCTGGAAAACCCCCAAATCAATGATGAAACTTAAAAGACCTCAATGAAGTAGATGACATAATATTAATACACAAAAGTCAGTAGCATTCATAAAAACAAAAAATAAACAGAAGAAATTATGATAGAGAAAAATCCTGTTTGTAATAGCAACAAAGATGCTTAAATATTTAAAAATTAAGTTAACAAGGGACGCCTGGGTGGCTCAGCGGTTGAGCATCTGCCTTCAGTTCAGGGCGTGATCCCAGAGTCCTGGGATCAAGTCCTGCATCTGGCTCCTCACAGGGAGTCTGCTTCTCCCTCTGCCTATGTCTCTGCCTCTCTCTGTGTGTTTCTCATGAATAAACAAATAAAATATTTTTAAAAATTTAAAAAGAGTTGCTGGGAAGAATTGGTAGCCATTTGGCAAAGGTAAAATTTGACCCTTACCTCACACCACATATATACATAAACTCCAAATGGATTCGGGATCTAAATGAAAACAAAAGGAACCAGACAAATACTAGAAGAAAACACAGATGAATTCCTCTTTAACCTTGTATATGGAAAGGCTTTCTCACAATTATTTAAAATCCAGAGACAGTAAATTAATAATAATAATAATAATAAATTTAACATAAAAATGTTTTAAATTTTGCATAACAAAAAATTCAGCACAAGCAACAAAAGTAAAAATAAACAAATGGG